ATACGTCTGTATTATGAATAGAGAATAACGTGGGCGGCTCCGCCCCCCCCACACCACCCATTTCACTTTATCTTTTCTACATACAATATTTCACAATTATTTTGTTGAACTTTTAACTTTATACATTATCAACAGTGATATAGTCGTAATTTGATCAATAGATAAGTTAAAAACCTAAATGAGGAAACATGGAGAATTTCACCCCCACAATACTTTTCAAAAGCCTTAACTATAACATAGTTTTGGGGGACGGAATACAAAATTTGTATTGTAATATTTAATATTGTGATGTTTTAACTGTGTTAAAAATATGTATTTTCTAATTATTACATAGTGCAACTAAATCTCCTAACCCTCCCAGATTTTTTTCTGAGAAGAAATTCTCGAGGAGAAATTGCTCCTTCCAACTCCCAAACTATTACTCGAATATTTTTACTGACACTTCTAAGTTCTTAAATAATTAAATTTCATAGACATATAATCGATATGTGTATTATTAGATACTGTTATATTTGTAACGTGACAAAAAGTATCTATTTATTTTTTTGTCTATTTGTATAGACACATATAAATATTTGTGTTGAGCCGAATGCGTACTGCGACGGCATTCATCAGTTTGTGCGCGCGAGATAGTCAGCTGTGTACTACTTCAGACCGGTTCATGGACGGCATTTGTGTGTACATTCACCCCGCTCCTTTCCTATCTTGAACGTTATTTGCACTGCTCTCCGCATACATTGTCGCCTTATGATTTAAATTGTTCTTAATAATTTCCGGCACTGGGTATTTAGTTTTTTTTTTACCCCAACTCTACAGGCTAGTCGTGTTGTCGCCAACGGACTGCCGGACGTTTTGTCGGAAATTAGCCATCGTCGGAACTGATACGCTAATTTCCGTCCGTAGCGGTTTTTTTAGTTGTGTGCGTTACAGCAAATTGTTTTTTTTTATTGGCGTCGGCTAAACCTGCCTCCAGTTTCTTTTTATTTTATTCTTTAGTCTATACTCTTTAACTATTTTATAAATACGTATATGCACTAATAAGAAAACTAACAATGGGTATACACTGTATACCCGCGTATCACTCATGAATTTATAAGTATACGCATTAACAGAAAAACAAAGAAGTGGGTATACGCTCCACGACACCTCTGGGCCCAATCACAGGGCTCTTGTTATAATAGGGTTTTGTATATTACCTGATATTTTGCACATAAAAATCAGTTAGAGATTTTATGCAATAAAATCTTATTATTTAAAATAAAATCGTTCTTGATAGCAGTTAAATAGGTTATATTACTTTATAAATCATTAAAGGAATATGATAGTTTTAAAATTATTATTAGTGTTTATTTCCAACTCTGATAAAAATGTTAATACATCATAAAAAAACTAACTAAACACAAATAAATATAATTTATAGATTTATTTTATTTTTTAATATCCACATGTATTAAAAATCGTTTTTTAGAGACACAGTGCTTCTGATAGTTTAAAAAACATGAAAATAATTATTTTTTTCGACTTATAAATCGTAAAAATAACAAGTTACTTTATTATTTATGTCATAAAAAAAACCGTGTTTAGTATACGTTTCGATCATCTGCGCAAGACTTTTATTTAATTTATTTTCTGCAAATTTGTAGTGTTCAAACACTTGTAAATTATTATCTTCCATATAATTGACGATGTAGTAATAATCCATTTTTACACTAACATCGTATTCATCAATAAAAAAATTTTTTAGTATTTTTTGCAAATTACTGTTGTTCCCTTCGTACTCTTCTTTGAACTTACTTTCAATTTTGTCCACATATGAACAGTCATTTTCATTTATTTCTCTGCTTACCAATTCAATAAATTTTATTAATTCGTTTAAAATAAATGTGTTGATATTGACATTTAACAAACTCATTAGGAAATGTATTGCACTAATATAACGTGTAATAAGCTGTTTGGATTTATCAACATTTGGTATTAATAAATTCACACACTCCGCGTATTCAGCTGGACCATTTGCTGAAATAGGGTGTTGTTTTATTATATTACAAGAAGTAGCTAAATGTTTTATGTGAATTACGATCTTTGCTAAATTTATTGTAAACTCATAATTAATTAGCATCGATGTATTATTTAGTTTTTCATGAACATTTTTTTTAGTAACTATGTTTTTTTTAGAATATAATTCATTGTTTAATATTAGTTGACATACATAAAACTCATAACTGTTTTCATAGTCATGCACTTTTGTATTTGTTAATAAGTCCCATTTGCTTTCTTGTAAAAATGAATTTAAAAATTTAATTACATACTTTTCATCATATTTTTCCAGTTCATTCGTTGCGTTGACTACCAAGATAAATATAAAGATGTTACAATTCATTGTTACTATGTAATGTTAGATTTATTATATAATTATTGGAAAAAAAAATAATTTTTTTAAAATATTTATGTTATTATGCAATTTAGTTTAATTAAAAAATTAGAAATTTTTTTCAAATCACAAAATTAACTAGTTGATCAAGTGATGGCGTACTATGCAATGTAAAATACCTACACTACAAGTTGATGACGCGTGTTCAGGTGTTATTAATAGTGTATTAAATTATTTATAATAAAATTTACTCTAAAAAGACAGTATTTGTTCGCTTTGTCTGTTTCTTATTTTTTCACATACCTCATCCAGCTCTTCACTTCACTCGCTGAAATATTATCACTTTCAATTATTGATATTGTATCACAAACTATTAATTGTGAATAAATACACAGGTCTACTATTTGGGGTGACTATTAAAAAATAAATAAACGAGTTTTTATTCTCTTCCTAAAAAAAATTGCCATATGAAACATAATTATAACAATTATAAATAAAATAAACTTATTTTTAAAAAACTCATATTTCTAGAGGTATATGAGTACGAGGGTTTGTAAGAAAGATAAAAAACGATAGAAATATATAGTGATATTTATTTATTAATATAAATTTAATGGTGATCAAATGTCACACTCTTTAATATGAGTAATGCCACTAGTATGACATATACCAATAATAGGTGGATTTGAGTCACCACCACGTGTGTCTAAACAGAGTAGTATTGTGGCTATACATGAACCTCCTACTTAACTCCTGAAATATACACATATCACATTATTGATTTATTAAATTAACTTTGTATATTTTTTATTATTGTCAATCACTTGATTTTTCTTTGTCCCTACTAAACTATGTACTCATAAAACTTAATTCAAAATCTTACAGATTTTTGGTGAAATTATTATTTTTCTACTTTGATGTTTTCAATAAATATTTTGAAATAAACAAACGTTTCTTTTTCTTATAAAATCACAATACGAACGCAACGAATCTATACTATTTTTGATGAGTTAAAAACAAAAAAATGAATTCAGTCAGTGAGATTGATTAAGTGATTGAAGTGAAATCATTGTGATCACCATCTGAGCGACATCTCACCGAATGAGCCATAATGTTCATTATTTTGGACTTTTTTTAATAAATTTGATGGTATTTTCAAAGGCAACAAGTGATTAGCGACGCTACCATTATTTCTTTATCTATCGCCGTAAGAATAATATAATTGAACTTTAGATCTCAGAGTGACCTTTGAAATCTTTTTATCTAAACGTTAAATTAATTATATTTATATAAATGAAGGGTCGGGAGTTTTTCGATACACTTAAAAGGCAAACAACAAGACGACATATGTTGATTACAGAGGATTTTATTATATATGTATACGAATTATTAGATTTACCATATTAATACATTAATTAAGACATAAATACCGCCCAGCTAAACATACCGCCTTTTGCTGTTGTTACCGCTGTCCAATAAAGTCTCTTTGGAAAATATGAATAGTCAGCCTCCGTTGCTCCTAACCAATAGTTGATTAACTTGCGCAATAACACGCAGCGGATAAGAGAATCTATTGGTTTTCGCCGACTCGCACCAACCGACGATAAAAATAAAAACACGCCAAATCACAGGCCACGAGTCAAAGGGCTCAATGGCACGTACACACACGTACTGACATAAGTACCGATAGTGCCGGACACAACTAATATGACTGTTGTTGGTCAAGCGGTGGGTGATGATAAGCCACATGGAGCTGACCGGGCTATACACGCAACTATTGAACAATCGTCGTTTTGTTGGAATTTATTAAATGTCATGTATAACATTTTTGTCAATAATGATCATCTACATTTCAGAATTTTATTACTGGAAATATTTTTTCTGCATATGCATTTGTTCTAGGTATACTTTTTTAGCTTCGATGCGAAGTTGAGAAAGTATTAACGTTATCATGATGTGTGTTATTATTATTTTTTTTTGTCTGTCACTACTTTTTCTAAGCTCTCACGGGACCGATCTATTGAACAATCGTTTTGTAGTAATTCATTATTACATTTTTATCAACAATGATCATCTACATTTCATAATTTTATTACTGAAAATATTTTTTCTATATATACAATGTATTTTATATTTTAATGTATCTATATATACAATGGGTGGTCCTTATTTTTCAAATTCAATTTTTTTAAGACAGTACCCTCTAGATTGGTTAAATACTATTAAAATGTAATATAGGTAAAATTTGGAAGTTTTTATTCAACCCCTTCTGGTGCCGCATTAGGGTTGAAATATGATACTTGATGGTTGTTTTTGCTTTTTTTGTGTTTAACTCGACAACTATTACATTTAGTGCTAAAATGAATAGAATATTAATTATAGAACTTATTATTGCCTACAAATAAGGTAATAACAATATTTTTCATAAATTCATTTTATTTTGAGAAAAATAATTTAACATAAAAATTTTTCAAAATTTAACATAAATATATTTTTTTAAATATTTTAATATTTTTACTGAGTGGTTGAAATTTCATTAAATTTTCATGTAATCTTTTTTTATAAAATTAATATTAAAAAAAAAAAGCTAAATAAAAAATTGTATAAAATAACTATATAATAATTTCATGAATATTAACTAAGATTAAATAAAAAAAATGTATAATCCATTCTATCAACACATAATTATTACAAAATTCATAGCACATTTATCTACATGGAACTAGTATTTGTCTTTTAATATATTTTTTTTAATGTTTCTCTATCACATTTTGGATATTTTTTTTGATAGTCTTGGACGGTCTAAAAATTTAAACGATATAATTAAGTTAAGTTAAAAATAAAAATTGTTAAATTTACCTGCAATAAAAATTGTTTTTGTTCTTCGTCTTTAGTAAATTTATCATTATATTCTTCCATTAGCTTGACTCCTCTCTCAGCTGTGTCGTTAACTATTTTCAATGATTTGATTATTTCTCTACCTGTTTTGAAGTCTTCCTGATAATTCCAATAAGCTGGATCAATGCTTAAAAAATTTGTTTGAATTTTAAACCGCTTAAACATTTCAATTGATTTGGAAGTTATTAAATCAGTTGGTAGGTCTTTTTGAAGAAAATTGGGAACATCGTCTGGTGTAAGAGTTAACTTTTTATTCAGATTAGTTTCTTCATCATCATCATCATTATAACTTAGAATTTTTTCAGCCATTTTGCGTTTTGTATTATAGTCTATACGATTGTCAAATAAGGAAAAAGTAATACATTCTGGATTTAAATACCACAAATGATTAGTTATTTTTTTTAATGCCACGTCTGCGATTTTTTTATTTTGTAATTTATAAGATTCTAATTTTCTAAGAAATAATATGTCATTAAAAGGAGCTTCTATAGCTTTTGGAGATGAAAACCAAGCTTGAACGTAACATTTTACAATAAAACAACAAATATCCTTTAATGATGTTTCTTCTCTGCTGTCTAGTTTAAATTGATTTTTAAACAAAAATATTTTTAAACAATATATTGCTTTAGCCATCCATCTGGCTAAATGATAAGGACCCGGTTTTCGAAAAGCATTTCCCCTTTGAGGAACACCACCCAAAAATATAATAACAAGTTCTAAAAACTCTTGATAATCATCTCGGGGGAGATATTCAGTAATTTTACTTTTTGCATATAAAATAATTTCATCGGCTTCATCTTTTAAAATATTATGAACATAAGTATCAGAAATTGATGTAGAGAATTTTGTTTTATCAATTGTTTCCCATTCTTGTTGAAACCTCTTGAATAATAATATTTCTGGTCCGGTTGAAGGACATAATTTGTTATCTGAAAATACGCCTTGTAAAACAAGTTCATAAATATGGTGTCGGCATGCTAAGAATAAAATAGCTTCGCATCGAAATTAAAAAATCCAAACAATAATATGTTAAAATATATAATCAATTGAGCTTATTATAAAAATGGATTATAATTTTAAAAATTTATTGATAAATTTATGTGAAATCCAAAATAATTTTTTTAGAAATGATTTATACAGTGACATGTTACCGAAAAATTTGGAACACTATAAACTGGTAGTGGAACACACAAATAGAGTAAAAAAATTAATAAAAAACTAAGTAAACATTTAATTAAGCAACTTTTTATGTGATGAAAGGGTAATTGTTTTCAATTTTCTAGGTTAGTATCTTTAACTAGAAAAAAAATTAAGTGTTTCTGATGGATTTTAAACTCTTTACCTTTAGCGTTTGTAACACACGCGTTTCCAATCCAGTAATAATACCCTCCCTAGATGATAAAATAAGCAATTTAAGCTAGTTAAAATTTTTAAAGTATTTTTTTTTACTACGGCAGCCATTTAAGATTATAAAATTTCATAGAAAATAAGTCGTCTGGACAATTTTGTTTTTTTTAAATTTATAGTACATAAAATAAGCTTTAATTTAATATATGTTTAAAGGATTCAATATTTTGGAAACATTGTTACCATAGATATTTCTATTTCATTTGATATAAATTTTTTGAAAATCTGACCATTAACCTGTCTACAGGTGAAATTCAAAATAGCAAATTTTATAAAAAAAATAAACTCTTTCAATTTAACTTTTGAAAATGTTCGAGAAATATTTAGTACTTTAAATTTATGTTAAAATAAAGCTTGTATTACATACTATAAGTTAAAAGAAAAAAAAAATTTTCCACACTAAGTCTTTCATATGTAAACGGATTTCGAAGTTAAACAAAAAATGTCATTTTGGTGTAATAAATCACAACATTTTGTGTTGTTATAACTTTTTAAAATTATTTTGTCTGTATTTCAAGTCATACGGTATAGTTTTATTATATGGGAGGGGATAAGTACTCCAATTAACCCTCCTATTACAAAAAAATTATAAAATGCATATAAATGTTAGTTATAAATATTTCGAAGTAGGATTTTCTCAACTTTTATAATCAATCCAATATGTATATTAAAAGGAAGGGGGCTGATCTTTCAACAACGGATTATCATAAATCGAGACAAAGAAATACAGGTTGATTCTTTAAATAGTCATTTGTTTTTTTGAGTTATAATAATAATTATACTAAGAAATTAAAAATTTAAGAAAATGACTAGTCGATGTCAAATTTTGTCCTAAGTTATAACTATTTTAAAATATAGTATTTAGGCGAGGTTTGTATTATTTTAAGCGTTTTTTATGACAGTAATTTTAATCATTTTCAGATAGCATTTATACTTGTTCCAACTATGCCACGTCCTACCTGTGTTGGCGTTTTTTTTTAATAATAAAATACCACAATTTTAGCTTTATTTAAAATATTTATCACGTTGAATGTGTATAATTATTTATTGATTGCACTAATATTTATTCTTATTAAGGCATTAAATTTATAAACATAGTAATTAAAGTTTTAATAATTTATTATCAATTACAAATTCAAATCTCTGGAAGGGAATTGATGAGTAATAAAATAATATAATTCATACAGCTAAAAGTTAATAATAAATTTTGAAATGTGTAAGTTAATTTACTCAAAGTATATTGTGAAGTGTATTCATAATTAATATAATAATTTGTAAAAATGAAAAATTATTTGTTTAGTTAAGGTTGGAACATTATTTTTAGTTGAACACTTTTGGATTAATTGTTTAAAGAATGAGAATTCGTTCAAAAATAAAATAAAATTTTCTAAGGTTTTACTTTAAGTATGTATAATAGTGTGGGATAATCGTGTTTTATTTTTTATAATTGATTATATCAGCTTAATAGTAGTTATATTCCATATAATTGGTTCATAATATATAAAGAGCAATAATAATATACACCATTTAAATTTTATCTTTAACGGACGTAGCAACATATATTTATTAATAATATATGATTCCATATTAACATCATATCATAATTTACTTTAATTGACAATGTTTTTTTTAGATATAGAAAATTACTATTTTCAACTAGGCAAATGTTATGTATTGAAAAAAAGAAAAAAAAGAATACATTAATTAATTTTATATAAGTTGTTCCACGAAATGGTAATACATATAATCAATATCGTTTTTATTTTTGCGATGGAGCTTTGTAAACACAATTTTGTCTTATGCAGACAACTATAGTGTCTAAATAAATTAAAATTAGTTTTTGAAATATGCATATTTTTCTTAGGTCTTAGTTGAAAGCTATTTTATTATGTTTTAATGCACCTTTAAAAAAAAAATATATGTATATATATATATATATATATATATGTGTGTGTGTGTGTGTGTGTGTGTGTGTATGTATATAATGTATGTATTATTACTAAAAAATTGAATTTCTTTATTTTAAATGTAATAAACAGTAAATACATAGGATTAGTTTTTTTTATCAAATAAGATATTATTTACCGCTTAAAAAATATTTTGAAATAGATGCGCATGTCATTTGGAACAGCTGCAGCTGCCCGCATGTTAATCGTACCGTAGTTAGGAGATACGAGTATTGATTTTTTGGTGTTACTATTTGCACAAATAAATAGTATATTGTGCACGATCGTTCATCAAAACAATACGTTAATAAAATTTAATTTCAATTCGTTTAAGTTTACTTCATTGTTAAAATATTTAATCGTCTATGAGTTGTAGTAGAATTAAACAAACAAGTATATTATGTTTGTGTTAATGTAATTAAGTCTTTTGTTATGCCACCGTGGCAATTATTATATACAAAATGTTAATGGTGAAAGCTTTTTTGATATTGTCAAAATCTTGTTACAAAAAAATTTATTGACATGTTATTTTTTTTGGTTGCATAAAAAATATTTTGTTAAATTTAATTAAGATATACGTGATATGAGTCTTTCAGAGTCAGGATGGTAAGTAATTTATAATTTTTAAACAATATATTATTAACTCATAAATTAATGAAAAATTTTACTTAAGTTAAGCCCAATAATTAAAAAAACCTGATTTGCGCTATTTTAGACGGACTTAGCTTAAAAATCTTAATTATTTATTTAAAATAGTGAAATTATTATATTTATGTGATTTTTAATTTTATTTGGAAAATCTTATGTAACTGGTAAATTGCTACTTCGATAATTTTCTTTTGATTTTTTTTAATGATCAAATATTAAAAACCGTAAGAATCATTACGTGGATTTAAATGAATCGCTGCAGCCAGCTGTTAAATAAGTTATTTTGTAATGTGTTTTTCAATATTTATAATAACAATAATCAATATATTTTATATACTTAATAAACATAAATTTCTGATAAAGAATATATTTAAAAACTTAGTCATACAAGAATGTTTGTATTAGTTATCATCTCTTATGAGTATGTCTAAGAACTAAATTGTTTTGTTCTATTGTGAATTTTTAAATATGAATTTTATTTCTATGCGTTACAACTAAATAAACAACTTAAACATAAAAACATAATTTAATAAAAATTAATCGATTATTAAATAATTATTTCTAATTTTTGTAAATTTATTTTATTTTAAAAAGTGGCCACGTTGTAATGTAATCAAACGACGTCGCCCTTTAAGAATTCATTGGATAATTGGTTACGGTTGAAATTACAGGAACCCATAAGCTGTTAAATTCTTTTATTGTGTCATTATATTTAACATAAAGAATAAAACATTTTTTTTTTCATAAAAAAATAAGAATGAACGAATGAAAAAAATAGCAAAAATCATTTATGATTAATAATGTATATTATTATATTATGTATAATAATTATTTTTTTTAATTACTTCTTTTTGTGATATTTAATTTAGTATAAATCATAAAACTTATTTTGTGTTATTTTCGCTGTTACTAAGTAAATGTTTTCTAACTTTTGCTTATGAAATTCTGAAAAATGTAATATAGTTCTCTGTTGACTTATACATAGCTCTGCTATAATAAATTATTTGGAAAAAATAATTGAATATTTATTTTAGGAACACTTATGACCCACCAGGATTAAATCGTTGGAAAAACAATCCAAATGGATCAACAGTTTCAAAAATGCAACACAAATATTGGGTGACAAAACAACAAGTACGAAAAAAATTAGGAAAAAAAGAAGATGAATTTGTAGTCGCATCTGATGCGGAACTTGACGCTAAACTAGAATTGTTCAAATCTATAAAAAGTAGTTGTCAAAATTTACAAAAAATTGTGAATAAATTTGACGAAAAGTTGTATAGTAAGTGATTAGCTTATATGAAATCTTTGAAAAAAGTTTTGGTGTGACATGAATTTTAAGATGTTTCTCTAGTAAGACATTAGTGGAATTATAATTTAATTTAAAACTGGTCATTACCATTTTAAAACTTAAATATATATTAAAGCCGCTATTAAAATTAATCTACAGCTTAATTGGATCTTTAAGGAAACATAAAATATTATTTAATAATAAGAACTGTTATTCTTATTTTAATTCAGTATCAAAATATTAGACAACTTCTTAAAATAAGTTTAGAATTAATAACAAAATATTATTATAAAATAATTAAGATTCTCAGTTAGCTCAGAATGCGTTCATAAAGGAATTTTAAAAATTTATTTTTAATTTTTTTAATTTTATAGATTTAGCGTATGAAGAAAATCAAATGGGTGTCTTCCTAAAAAAATCAGGAAATCAAGATAAAACTAAAGCTGGTGAAATGTTAAAGATATTAGGATCTTGTATGACATTATCCGGCCAAGAACGAGTCATTTTAAGAGCACCACTGGCTAGACTTCAACAGGTACATTGATATTGCGTTATTACTTTTCATTAAAAAGTTCTGTTTGTTATAAATAATAATACATGATATAATTTACGAGACAAAATTGAGAATATTTAAGAATTAATTGTATATTATTTTTCATTTATCTAATTCTTGATAATTGTTATCAAGTATAAAAAAATAATTATAATTAAAACTATAACTCTACTAACAATAAATAATAAAAATAATCGATTTTTAACATAATTTTTCTTAGATTTAATACTTTTCTTAATTCAAATGTTTTACTTACATAATAATTTTAATGTTATTTTTAGGAAATCGAAACATTTTGCTTTAGGGCAGTCGAAGACACTTATACAGATGTTAAGCGCATGGAAAACGCGCGAACAGACTACAGAGCAGCTTTAAATTGGATGAAAGACATTTCACAGGAATTGGATCCGGACGCAAATTTAGATAGATTTAAGAATGTACAAAATAACGTTAAGACTTCTAAAAAACAATTTGATCATCATAAATTGGTTTGCTTACAAAAAGTTGATCTTTTGGCAGCAGCTCGTTGTAATATGTTTTCGCATGTTTTAATTTTTTATCAACAAAGTATGCAACGTTTCTACGAGACAACAACAGCGTCATTTGGAAATGCCACAGTAGACTTTAAACGTAAATTCAAAAAAATAATTTAAATAAATTAAAAAAAATTCAATTCATAGTAATCTTAATGATAAAAATTGTTAAAAATATTATTAAAATCATAAAAGTAACAAAATTTTTGATCATAAGGGCCAAATATATAACTAAACAGTTTGAAAAAATTAAGGTTATTTTAGTGAGTAATTTTATAAGTATACAAAATACGGATAAAATATATTAAATGGAAAAAAAATTTACATTGGCACTAAAAAATTCTTGAAAAAATCAATAAAATTTAAATAAAACAAGTGTTTTATATAAATTAAATTTTTTTGTAATAAATATTTAACCCATAATCTAAGAAAAATAGAAATAACTTAGAGTTATATGAATATCCATTATAATGTTTTTAAGGTCAATATTATTTTTCAATCTTTAATGGGAGAAAATAAAAGGTTTAAAATTAAATCCATTCCATACATAGGGTTTTCTTAAAAAGTATACCAAAGAAAAGCTTATTGTCTTTAGTATACTTATTTAACTTTATTAGAATCAGTGTTTTTTAAGTTAAGGCTCTTATTAGAATGTAGAAAACGCCATGTTTTATGGTAGTATTATTTTCAGATATTTTTTTAAATATTTGATATTGAGCGGATTTTTTTTTTAGTTTTCGACACTGATAGATTCAATTAAATTAATAACGAGTTATTTTGATGTATAAACTAATAAAATCGGTCTAATAAAGCTGAGAAGTTTTTTGGACTGACAAAAAAAAAACATTATGCTAAAACAAATACTTTTTCACCTTCGCAATGAAGCTAAAAATCTATCTAACTTCTTATGTTCTGGATTTTATTCATTTGTGTTTCGTTATCCATTGAAATACACAAGAAAACTAGCGTTCCATGATTTCTTAATGAGAAAGATGACCTATACAATATTTTAGTACCCACCTACCTCATAAAATCACTATCATATGTTATATACGAGAGTTAGGTTGGGTTTAAGGAGAACTAAGGGGCCTTAGACTTATTAAGAAGACCTTCACGTACTAATTCATGTTCATTTTTGTTAACAGAATACCAACATTATGAGTTTAAAATGTTAAAAGAATTGCGAGCTAACTACACAGATAAACAATCGAGTAAAAAAGAAGAAACTAAAGGCGACGATTCTAATTTGTATGTTGAGTTAGGTATTGAAGCAGCTGTCCCTAACGAAGATAACAATGAATCGACATTGCTATCATTATTTGACGAAAAGGATGATTTCGATAATTTTTTGTCTGTTCCATTTAAAAGCGGAAAAGATCATGAAACTTCAGAATTTAAACAAAACGAATGTGTAGACGAATTTTTACCATCTCAACTTTTATCTGATTTACTATCTAGTTCTCCGGGACCTCAATCTAGAGATATTAAAGTAAGTATTGTTAACTATATAAATTTTCTTAATTTGACATTTCACTGAATTATTTCTTTATATTTTTTAATAACTATAAATAAAAAATCTGTCTATTATTGTAGCATGCCATATCTAATAAGTATTTTTTTGAAGTTATACTACATAATTATCAACATTTTATGTATATATTCTAATAATATTAACAATATTTTATTTATAGCCCACAAGTTCTTTAAGTACTTCAAATTGGGCTGAATTTTTAGCAGAGCTTGATCCATTAAACAATTTGGAAGTACCTTCAAAACAAATCTTAGACTTATTATAAACATTTTATATTTTTACTACTACATAAAAAATAATTAAATATAACTAATAATAATTATTATAATTTGACGAAATTAATTATATACATTTATATTAAATTTATTTTCGTGTTTTTTTAAAATTTATTACCTTTTGTAATAGAAATAAATTCATATAAGAGCTTATGAGAACATGTGAAAAACTCAAAAATCTTATTTTTAAAATTGCATTTAAAAATTTTTTGCTCAAAAAATTTTTTTCATACATTTTTAACTTAAGTAAGATTTATACAGAAAATTTAAATTTTTAATTAAAAAAATTTTTTTCTAATCAAAATATGTTGCAATGATTTTTTTTACCTTCCTCGTATTATGTACACTAAAGTGGTATAAGAGCAAATCGAAAAAAAAATTCCTAATTAATTGGCAACAATAGAACAACTGTAGGGGTTTAATCCAAAAGTTCAAAAATTACTTTCCACGATTCCCTCATTAATTAATTTTAAAGGATATAATATTTACTTTTTAATTATATTGTTGCTCGAATATGAATTTTCTGAGAAAAAAATGAAAGTACACTCTTGGGCACAGGGGCTAAGAGTGTACTTTAAATGATTTTTTTAGTATCATCATTTAGTTTTTCAATTTAAATTTTATACTCACAAATAAGAGGTAACAAACAACACTGGGTAGGTGTTATTTGTGATGTTTGCCAAGTCTTTAACGCATCATCGCTTTAAGAGTGGTAAGCGCTTATAGAACGGTGTTTAAAGTGGCCATTTTGGTGATATCTGGTATGACTTTAGTTTTAATGACCAGAGGAAGAACTTAGCTGTGCCAAATATCTGAGATTAATGTAGACAGTACCAGAAACATTGTTGATGAGATGATATGGAATCGATGACAAGAGGAATGATGCACAGGCGTCAGAAGAGACGTGGACGAAACGTCTCATAACAGACGTTTGACCGTGTGACAAATTATAATCATCTTAGAGTTACCTTAATTACTCATAGTCTACATAAAGTTTTAATTTTACATCCAATTACATTTCTAATTAACATTTAGCATAGTACTCATAAGAGTGGTCTTTAGTTATTGATGATGAAATATTTTTTTTAGAAATTTCTCGGTCTAATATCATAAATTGTTATAAATATATGTAAAAATAATTCACATAAATCAGACAAGTTAAACCCGTGTCGACTCGATATTGAAAATTGAACAAAATGGGTAGTATTTAAATTTTTTGAATTTTTTCATTTTTTTGTAACTCGTAAATGAGCTTTCACGAAAAAAAAATCATAGAATATATAAAATATTGACAATGATATTTTTCAAAATTTTTGTACGCACAATTTTTTTTTGAAACCCACTATTTTTTCTGCAAAACTACAAAAATACACAATTGAAAAAAAATTTTTCTGTCATATAAAAAATTAATTATGCTTAAAACGAAATTTGTTTTAATCTTAAAATTATGTATATTATAGTTGAATTGATTTGTATTTCATTATTATTTATAATTTAATTAAAAAAATAATAATAATTAAAATTTTCATATATTTACTATTTGTGAAATAAATTGATTTAATTGGATAAAAATCATATTTTAGTTATTTCATATTATTACTCTGTATATTTTCAGCTATTTATTATTATTGAGCCAGAAAGGCTAAAAGTGAATTTATTGAATTTGTTGAGTCAAATGACCTAAATTTATATTTTATTTTAAATATTAATTAAAACTATTATTATAATTTATATAGAAACTCGAGTTATTTGTTATTTATTTATTTTATTAGTTTTTAAGAACTTCATACCTAAATTTCTATACACTATATATACTTAGTACCACATAGATCACTGGTTTTTCACAGGCATCCCCTCCTATCATCTATAACTCTATTAAACATCATTACATACACTACATGTCGGCCAGTGCCTTCATTGGTAACGAGGATGACTCAGCAATGACATCTTGATTAAGTGGTTATAGATACTGCTTCTAGACCTACAATCATATAGTTATATTATTATGTATTATTAATACCACATTAATATTTATTATTTTTATTTAAAACCACATATGTAGCCAAAAATTCTTGTGATATAATTCATTTAAACTTTATGTCCACTTTTGATTGAAATACATTCATAATACAATTAAAAAATTGTTTTTTATAAGTTCTTATTATCTTTCTATGACTTTAAATTAAGTTTTCTCTAGTCACAACAGTCACATTTTATTAATTTGACATATATTATAATATAATTTCCTTTAGCCATCTCAGATTCAATGTAGCATACTAATAGAAGCTTTAAATCATTTGTTCTCTCTATTTCTGTCAGTATAATTTTTTTTTCTTGATTAAGTGTCTGAATTGTTTAAAAAAATATTTAAATTTTATGCAAAGTCATACGAAGATTAGTATTCTCGGGAGCCAAGTATTTTCTTAGAATATTATAATTAAGTAATTTGTTATGTAACAAATAGTATCTATAGCAACCATATGACGCAGGCAAAGTTTCAGTTAATCAATGAAATTTAGTAGGCTAAAGAAATATTTTTATTTATAAATATTTGAATAATGATTTTTTATTTTTTATAAAATTAAAATTTTTCAAAACTTGACTCTTAAATACTTATTTGAAACTTACTTTTACTATAATTAATGTCGGAAAAGAAAAAAAATAGTGATGATATTGTGGCGGTTTGGAAAGTACCTTTAGCTGGCGGAGTTCATGAAGTAGAATTTGAACATGGAACTGCTACAGGAAAAAGAGTTATCAGATTAGATGGCAGAGTAAGTAAAAACAAATAAAATTTAAATAATAAAAATATTTATTCCATTTTGCTAAAAGAAAGAAAAATTTATGAGTATTTAAACTAAATCAACAATACAATTAATAAGATTCTGGGTTCAATTATTAAATACTAAAATTTATTAAAAATTATATATTTAATATACTTCTTTTAATATCCAATGTAAATGTCATATGGTAGACATTCTAACTTAAAAACTGTAACTGCGTGTAATTGTTTAAATAAGCTTCTCATTTAAATTGCAGATTTTATTAAAGTGTAAAAGTAAGTAAATATTTTATCTAAGGACAATTTTCCTAGATGCGTATATGATTTTAATTTTTGGAATATTAGATTTCCTAATTTTGTTAATTATTAGTTGATTAACAAAACTAATGTATAGATTATACGAAGAAAGGAATGGATGTTTCGACTTATTGGAGATGAAATTTTTAACATAGAAAATACTCAATGTATTATTAGAGTTGAACCTGATGGTTTGTTCATGTACACATATAGTTTATTAGTTGATGGGAAACCATTGAATAATTATTGTGAATATATGTCGAAAACTCGTTCGGTTTGGATAGTGTCAACAGATGGTGTGGATAAACGAATTACGCTGGGTAATAAAACCACTTATAAGCTAAATTTATAAATCTATCGAATTATTTTTTAATTTAGACAAAGAGACTATGGATATATTTATCGACGGAGTTAAAATAACAGACACTATGGTAATTAAATACTTATTAAAGAAAAATTTAAAATTTACTAGGGTTGGTTTAAGATCTCATTAATAAATTCCTTTAAGTAAAATGTTTTTAACGCTAGAATTATTTAACATTGAAGGTAAGAAAATTTTACCATTAAATATTGCCGTTTGTCTATAAAAAAGAAATTAACAAATTTTGTTCTTAATTTATTATTTTTTCATAAAAGGTCAAAACTTACTGCAATAAAACTACTACGTAATGAAAAAGTCGTAAATGTAATCATACATAATAACAATTATTTACTATTTAGTTCTGTGTACTTTTGTGTATTATCTACGAGTTAGTGTATTTTTTCTGATATTTTAGTTTCTGTTTTTTTTTTCAAATCTTAATTTTATACCTTTTATTCTACATATCAAAAGTATTATGGTTTCATATAAAGACATTCTTTGGACACGATGTGAAAGTTATTTAGTTGGACATATCAGGGATCACATTGTTGGAAGTAAATTGCTATCTAACCAACAAGTCTTAAGCGTTTTGTTTTACAACTTACAGCATGTACAATTTATTATTTTACACTTTATTATTCATTTACTTAAAACTTAGATAAAACCATAGAATTAGAAACGACCAATAGTGATTATTCATATGATGAGATTTGTAATGTTGATTACTCTGAAGAATTAATGTGTATACCGGTGAATCGAGATTCCGATGAATCAGATCCATCAAAATATGCAGGAGAGGAACTTAAAAGTTTTTTACTTTTAAACTAATAGCTGTGTTGGATTAGTGCAAACTCAGTGATCGTGATGTGATTTATTCAATTATAGCAACTACTAAAGCGTTGAATAATAATATTTTTAAGTTAGTAATAAATATATCGACTATATTAACTAAAGATAAAAATCAAAATTTTTACTTCAAGTTGTTAATGGTTATCGCGAATGTTATGATTACAAAAATAATAAAAACACACACTGATGAATCAATATATTTATTTAAAGTAGATCTTATAGTTGCACGTATTTTTTTAGCTATGAATTATAGTTATTAAACACTTTTATTACATAGACCCAGTGATATTTTTTAGCTACATAAATATTTTATACTACTATTGTAAAAAAAATAAAGTTTTTAAGTATTTATTATTTAGTTGGTAATTCTTAATAGTGATGCAGTTTTAATATATATTTAAATAAATATTGGAATGAGCTGAAGCTACAAAAGTTTTTATTGGAAATAAATTTTAGAAAATAGAATTTTAAACATCTTTTGTATAAAACACTTCTTTGTATAACGAACGATAAGTTAAATATATTCATATTAATAAACTAAGCCATATTTTTCGTATTTATAAAATAATTATATTTTTAAAAATAATAAATTCAGAACAAAATTTTTTAATTTTTTTTTTATAAACAATTACTATATTTACAAATTATATTCTTTTAATTTTTGTCACAAAAGTCTTAGTTTTTAAGATAAACAAATAAAAACTAAAAATCTACCCTCGGTATCCAATTATCAACACTGTCTTCTGGTTAATCAATTTTGACCAAATTTTTAAAACTTATTATTTTGCATAATCCAATAAAAAAAAAAATCTTTTATTATATCCAAATGTACAATATAGATATTAAATATTAGATTTTATAATTAGATATATAGATATAATAGCTAATTATAAAAAATAAAAATAATTAATAAATCGTTAAATTATTTTGAAAAAAAATGTAATTCATTGTTAGACATCACTTCATATGAAAGAAGTTTTAAAATTGTAATGAGTGTGAAGGTACTATTGACTATGCAGTAAAATTGGTTTTTGAGGATGTTACAATCAAAACACATAAATATTTATTAATAATATATTTTTTTCAGCCTGAATTTATTGATAATGGAACACAAACACATTTTTTTATTGGTGAAGTAATGGCAACATTAAAAACTGTACACAGCGGTGATAAAAAAGTTGGAGTCGTACACAATATATTCATAGACGGAAAGCAAATTAAAGAATTATAATTAAGATAAAACTTGTTTCAATAATTTTTTGTTAAGTGAAAACAATTTATTCAGAATTCATAATAATGCAAACTCCCCGTAATATCCAAAAATTTTTGTGAATGTTTGTGTTTAAAGTAACTTTAAATATGCAATTATCATACTCTGAGTTTCCTTCTCTTTTTGAAGTTAAATATACTGGAACACTAATAGTATTTTTCGGAATTCTTAATGAATTAAATTCTATTGGAACTATAGCTAATATTGGCATATTTTCGATCATAATATGTGGACTAGGTTCTGTTAAATGTTTGTTTTCAACATCCCATCGTGCACCTTCTAAGTACAATCCAACCACATAACATCCCTAAAATTAAAATATATATTACATTTAAATATAAATAGTTTTTAAATTGTTATAAAATAAAATATATTTAAATCATAAGTAAATCATTAATAAAAATTACCGATATTAATATGTTACCATAGGCTGTGTTGAGAATTATTTTTTATTTAAGTTTTGATTGTATTCAAGCAATTTATTTTATTATTTTTAATAAACAGATTAGCTAAATTATATTAATAATTTATAAATATGTTTGTTTATTACAAGCTAATGAATATTTTAATTAATTTTTTTTTAATCTAGGCCGTACTGAAGTAACTAATATGGCTGGATTTGCAGACCAAATAATTGTTTTAAACTTTTTTTTAGAAATCCTATAGGTAACATCACCAACAAATTAACACTTCCAATAAACAAACATCACTGAGTTTTTAACTAAAAAAATGTTTAAGATAATAGTAACAAGTTGTAGTTTGTATATCTTACGACAAAGAAAATATTTTAATTTAATATTATTGTATTATCACAATTATTATACAATATCATTAACTGGAAAATTCTAACTTTGAACATAAAGCAATTAATTAAAATTTCTGTGCTTGTTATAAATATTTTTACATTATAATTACAGAAAATTTTCTAAGGGACAAATATTTATTATCTTTATAAGTGATATAAAAATATATTTTATCAAAGAATATTAAAAGATGAAAAACTCTTAACTGTTCATTCACAGGTGAAGTCATCCTATAAAATTTCAAAAAAACTTCAAAAAATTGCTGATTAAAATAATGAAATATTGACTAATGGAAGGTATTATCTTGCACCCTTCTTTGAGGCGGTCCAGTTGTAATATTAATTAAAAGGAAATAATCTTAGAACATTATATATCATATAAATTTTATACCATGATTGGTTTTTGATAGACTTCAGTATCAGTGAGCCATTGAGTTACATCTGTTTTAAGTGTACAATTTTCAAGTACCCAGGAATAATTTCTGCAAGCTATTTGCATTAATGATGTAAGATAAGATTTTGGCGAATGTAATCCTGATAACCATATAACTAGAGGCTCACTTATTTGACTCTAGTAAAAAATTCATTGATTTATATTTAAATTTTTAATGTATCCAAAATCGTTTATACCCAAGTAGAATATTGTAAATTTCGTTGGTTTATGTGATCCAAAAAACGTGACAGTGATTTAATAGCTAGTGATGATATGCGTTTCCACGACTTTGGAATAAGATCTAAATATAAACACGAGTAAACGTCTTCCAATTCGGAATCCATTTCCAACTTTCCTAAAAATACCTTTATACAAAAACAAATTATTTTTATATTTAATATTTATGTATCCCTTATCAATGATATTGAAAAAATAGTAATATATTTTAACACTTTTATTTTATTGATTTGATATAAAAATATACCATTTGTAACTTTGTTAAGCCGTTTCTAATAGTTTCCAATAAAATATTAAAATGTTGGAGTTCTTGAAATAAAACTATAATACTTGGATTATTTTTTTTATTTTCATAAAAACTGCGAACTTTATTCATATCATATAATGAAGGTAACGAATTAAAAATTTTTTCCTTTTTGTAATTTACAACTTCACACCAATAATTATTATCATTTTTAACAGTTGAAATATTTGGATACAGTTTCATCATATTTCTCCAGATGTATGCGATTTGTTCATTATTATAGACGTACATAGCATTTGGATGTAACCCACAAGTATCTGGATTAATTGTTGTTGGAATTTTGTCAACTATATCTTCATTCCATAAAAAAAATTCATACATAATTTTAATCATATTTAACTTTTAAAGTAAAAAATATTATAATAATAATTTTTCTATAAATGATAACTATACATTTGAAAATCACCATTCTATATATTTTTTATAGTTTATTTGAGATTTTTGAGTATAAGTTCTTTAGTTTACAAAAGTTACTCATAAGCATAACTTAAAATTTACCAAATAAATTAATATTTTTATTCTGAAGTAACAATCGTTCCATTCTGTGATATTGTGAAGTTTTACTCTTATTGTCACATTTGAAAAAACTGAATGGTTGATAAGTACTATAAATAAATTCTCCTAAATATTCTTCAATGTATGTTAATAACACTCGATTATCATAATTGTTTACTATTTTTCCACCATAAACAATTTCTCCAATTAATGTTTTTATTTTGATCCAAGGTATTTCATCTAAATATGTATTACTTAAATACATATCTAATATTTGTTGACACATTTTAATGTCTAAAAAATCAAAACTGTATGAGACATTCCACCCAATTTTATTATATTTTTTACGTTCCTAAAATAAAACTTTGTTTTTAGTTAATTTTTTTAAATAAATTAACTAAATTGTATACCAATAATATTCCATGAAGAAATAATAACGCAAACAATAATGATCTATAACAAGGATGTCGTGATTGGTATTCTAAATCGCTTAAATCAACTGTTTTTAACGCATTCATTAAGATGGTTTTGGTACTTTTTGGTGGTTCTATTATAACTGCAAACATAATAAAAATTAAATTATAATACGTATAATACATTATTAATGACTGGAACCTTTTAATGATCTAAGAAGAAACGTTGATGGATATTGAATAATCGATAAAGGTTCTAGTAAAACCCATAATTTAAAATTTGGATGACAAGGCTGATTTTTTTCATATAAAATATATTGTATTTTCAAAATAAATGATTTCGTGAAATTAAAATTCTGTAAAATTAACCAATTTCCTTTGTCCATGGCAGAATTCAATGATGTGAAGATTACCTAAAAACAAACTCTCGATTAAAGTTCTAATGATTTTATCGAAACAACAATAATACTAAAATAAACTATTACAGATTCTTCAGAAACTGCCGATGTTAATACATCATATGTAAAATTGTCTTTGCTATTCTTCTTGGCTAATTCAAGTAAGATTGGTAAACAGTCTGATTTGTAGTTCAAAACCAACACACAAGATGAAAAATTTGAAAATTTATTTTGCAGCAATTCAAAACTGAAAATTTGATACATTTAAATACAACTAATATTAATTTTTGTGTAACTGCAAGAATATATAGTGTTGAAAAATTACAATTTTTATTGAAATAATTAATTTAGTATAGATTAATGGGAGTTTAAAATTTTTATTAAAAAAAATAAAATTTTACCATTTATTACCAATATTCATAATATTATGATTATTTGTATTGATTACTTTATGGACATAATTTTTTACTCCTTGATATAATCGATCAGTTCGAAAACATCTTAGAAGAAGTAACATATCAAAGTACTTGTTTATTTTAATGGGTGTAGTGTTTAAATCTTCTGGATACTCTAAATAATACCACTAAAATAAAAAATAGTACAATGAGATATAGTAATGAAATAATTATAAGTATAAATGTATAAATCTAATCTAGGATTGTCAAATATTTTCTTAAGGTCAAGATGACTGAGCGCCTCGCTAGTCACCAGACCGCTAGTGTTGCCAAATTAAATGAACTTGTATTTGCATCTATATCCAACACTATTAAATATAGTTTTTTATCAAAATATTATATTAGTTTCTATAAAGTCACGGGATCGGTTTAATAAACAGAAAAATACTCATCGATGAGTCATCAATACGCTGATAGACAAAAATAAATTTTGTGATTTAAATAAAACATTTAACATTTTACAAAAACAATTAAAGGTGCATAAAAGTTGAATTATTCTCGAGTTACCTCTTTCCATTCCTTTGTATTTTTCTGAAAATGTTCAGTTAAATTAGAAAAGTTGCTTAAACATAAACTTAGCTTGACTAAGTTTTGCCAACATTTATTCGGTAACCATGAAGTAGGATTTTTCAAATTAACATTTAGAGAACCTAAACTTCCTTTTATGAAAAATATTATCTCTGAATCAGATAGATTTCCATAATATTTTTCTGTAATGCAAGACATTTCAAACAAAAACAATAATTTGTGTTTTTCAAAAATACTAAAGCAACTGAATTCTAATAAATAATTAGTTAGTTGTTGAAGTATATTAAATATCCTCTCGGATAATATTTTGTCTTGTGGTGCTAATTTTATAGACCTTATTAATAATTGTTCATAGAATTGTAATGAGAATTGATATAATGTGTCCACATTTCTTAAATCATACAGGATTTTGTAGTATAAAGCACAGAGTTCAGAAATAGTTTTATACAGTGTTCTTAATTTTTCATTTTCAGATTTAGCTTTAAAAACTAATTCCTTTTCAGAACAATACAAATTTAATTGTGATTTAATATTTTTTAATTCATCAACAAAATGAGAATTATCAATAAAAGAACTTTCATAACTCATTATTTTTTCTAAGTAAGTATTTTCAAGTTCTTGAAGATATTTTCGACATTCATAATCTTTAGATAAAGTTTTCTTCATTTTTTCTACATATTCATTATTTTCGTTTTTAAGTATTATATCAAGAAAATAATCTTCCATTCCCTAAATATGACAGAAAAAATTACCTAATTTATAAAATATATTTATAATAAGCATTGAAAAAAACAAATGTAGTAAAACACAAAAAAAATTGAATTGTATACTATATAAACCATTGAATTTAGTTAATTTTATTTATCATTGATCTATTAAAGCAAAATAATGTTAGTTTTTGCATCGAGAATTATACCAATAAACATTTTAAAAAAGATAAATTTATTTATTTACTATTACTATTTTGCCACTTTAAAATATTAAGTTGACACTCCTATAATAAATAAGCGATAAAAGTAAAAGATATTTTATAACTGATAAATGCAGCACACATGTAATTAACAAAAATCAAACAAAATACTATTTTAAGTCGAATTGAGTGGCTATTGTTAAAAGAATAATCCTGTATAATATTGTAGAAGATGCCATAATCATTGGTATATTATAGTACATAATTGATATACTCGCTCTATGAATCATTTAAATTTAATCAATGAAGATTTTTATAATAATATTTTATTTTAGATATTTTTCATAAAATGGTATTAATGATGTTTAATTTATAATTTAAAAGTTTAATCTATAACCAATGTGTAATTATTGGGGAAGTTGGTAAAGTTATACACTAAGGTTATTTATTATTATATTGTCAAAATTTAAACATTTTTATTTAAAAAAAAGTTCATTAAAATTTATAAAAAGGCAATTTTCCATTTTCAAAGATTGTCACTTAAGATACTTTGGAACCTTTTGAGGTTAAATGTCGCCATATTTTATACTTTCAAAATGAAAATGTATAAATAAAAAAACGCTCACTTTCTGAGTAATGGAACAATTTACAACAGTCGTTAATGAATAAACATTTGATGAAAATTGCTGATCAGTCAATTTTGTCATTAGATATAATCTAAACTGTTCGTTATATTCTAAATGCTCATCATTGACTTCTATATATAAACAATTATTTGAATTCGCTAAAAATCAAATACAAATCAAATTCTGAAACTCTAAAATTAATAGTTCATTCTAAGTAAGGTTTAAACTTACATTTTATGTTTTTATTTAATATATTTTTGATATCTATGTCGATGTTTTCAAAATCAGTGAAAATGATAGGTAAACCATTTTGAATAGCTTTTTTTAAGTTATTCAAATAATCACAGTCAATAAAGGAGACTAACATTAAAGAGTTTTTTTTTTCATGATTTGCTATCCAATTAGTGATTAGATTTTGTGGATCTATACATAATGGATATCGAAAACATTGAGTAATAATTATAGCATTTTGAGTGAAGTATTCGTTTGATTGTAAACCATTTAGAGTCCAACTAGAGTTAAAACATATTGTTAAAAACATTTAAGAACACATAAATTTATTTGTTATTTTTGTAAATTTGTGAATTTAATTTTTCAATTTTCAGCTATTTATATTTATATGAATTATCAAAATATGTAAATAACATAAAAAAAAACTTATCGTACTTTGCTATTTCAACGTCACTTGCGAGTTCATTTTCTATTTTAAGGTTTATATCTAATGGTATCTTTAAACGAAGGGCATTGTTAATCCAATCATTATATATCATGTTAGTGCGATATTTTAAGGAAAAAGGACCAGCATATATAAGAAATGAAGCACAAATTAATGAGTTGCCAATTGTTTCTTCCTTCATTAATTCATATTTATTTTGATCCAAAATATATCTAAATATTATAGATATGCCAAACAATTTATTGCAATTTAGTTAACAATAAAATTTTATCTATGCTTATTTTGAACTAATACTTTTAAATTCTGGTCTTACCTGTCAGTTTTTAAATTTAATTCTTCCAAAAGTTTTTTTGCAATATTAAACTTTTTTTCTAAAGATACATTTTCATATTTTAAGTTTTTTATTTCATTCAAATATTTTTCTAAATGTTCTTGGAGGTTGAGTAATTTATTTTGAAAATTATTCAACTTATCATCCTCAGTTTTTGCAATTTGCTTATTTTCATCGAAGTCTTCTTCCAATTTTTTAATTTTAGATTTTAATGAAATCATTTTTTGACGAATGAAGCATGCTTCTTCAATTGATTTAATAAATCTAAATAAACTATTTTCAAGTGTACTAATATCGCGTGTAGTTATATTTTTATTAATAATTTTCATTTTATCTTGTAATTGAATTCGTTGTCTATGACTAATTTGATCAAAATCTAATGAACATAAACTTTCTAAAAATCCCGGCTCTCCAACCATATCACTTAATGTTTTCCGTGTATTAAAATCTTCATAGCTTTTAATAATAGCAATGCATTCGCATAACTCTATCAAAGACTCGGAAGGTGTATCTATTAGTCTAAAATTAAAAACATAATATTTTTGTCTTAAATTTTTACAGACATCTAACACAAGTTGAAACAAATAATATTATAAGTTAAAAGTAAAAATATATAATTAAGTCATTTAAATATAAATATAAAATGTTATACGTATCCTATATGCTTATTATATTTTAATAGAAAATAAAACGGTTAAAAGAAGATTATAGTTCATTGAATGAAGATCAATATTGTGAAGAAAATTTTTTTGAAAAGTGAATAAGATAAATTGAATATACTAAATTTTTAAAAAGGTTATTAAAGATTATTAAAAGTTATTAAAATTATTTACTTAATTTCTTCAAAGTTTTCTGATTTTAGATCATTTAACGATGTTTTAAAATTATTTAAAATTGGCATCATTTTTTGATCTAACTCGAATAGTTGCTGTAGATTAGTTTTAATTATGTCAGTTTTACATTGTAGTTCTTTTTTACAATCAAATAAATTTTTTTTTTGATTTTCAATAAGTATGCAAGTTTTCATAATTTCTTCGTTTAAAAATGAACACTCTAGGTTTTGTTGAGAAATTTTTTCTTTTTGATGAAGAATAATTTCATTTAGTTTGATAACTTCTTGTGAAATATGTTCAATATTTTTTAAACCCAGTGATATTTGATAAACCTGTTATGAAAAATATATGCAGGTTACCATATGAATTGTGCTAGAGAAAAAGAGTAGTAGACCATTGTTTTCGATTTTTATTTTATATATTGATTAATATTAGTATTAAGTAATATAATCTAAAATTGATGACAAATATTTTCATTTTGATAATATTAAAACATCTAAGGTTATTTTATTATTATAGTGATAGAAGTTTATAACTTTTTTTTTGTTTTCTTAAAAAAATTATAAAATTGACAACTACCGTTTTCCATGTATCTTCATATGCATAACATAATTTTCAATTTAATTTATACATACCTTAGTACATAGAAAAGCTGATCTTTTTTTAGTTAAATCCTTAAATATAGTCATAAAATCTATCAAGTGTTTTAGAGAAAAACGAATTTTCTTTGATGTTTCTTTATTAAATAACTTAGCATAGTTATCTGCTGATTGATGCGTATAAATACTTTGTTTTAAAATACTACAAATATATTTATCCGGTACAATATTTTCCTATAGATTTTTATGTAAATATAAATTGTCAAACATTTTTATAAAAAAATAATTAACTTACATAAGCTACAATTCTTTCTGCTACTGCCTTTAATGCTTGTACAGGCCAATCATGAATCCAATTTATGTAAGTTTTATTTAAAAGCCCAGGAAAATTTCTAAAATGTAATTTTAAGTTTGATCCTGGTTCCATAAGCAATATTAAATGAAGGTTGTTATAACAGTTAGTTAAAAAAAAGTCCCAGTAACTATTTCTAGAAAAATATATTTATTAATAAAATTAAAACTTATAAAATATAGAAAATACAATTTTACAGATATAATATGTAATATTATATATGTAAAATATATAATTAATATATATTTCAGTTTAAAAAAAAAGTTTAGTTATAAAATTTAAAAATATTTTAAGTATATTTCTTTTATGAATAATGTTAATTGTATCATAATTTTGATGTAGGTAAATAAATATCCAAGCTTCGATACGAAGCTGAGAATGTGTTGATTTTATGATGATGTGTTTTGTTTTTTAATGTTTGTCCATGACAATTCTAAGTTCATAGTGGCCCGATTTTTTGGATTTATACTTAAAAAGAACCCGATTTTATTGAACCTATTAGTGACGACAATTTTAAAAAAAAGTCCTGATTTTTGAAAATGTTTCGGAAAGTGAATCATCTTAATCTATATCAAATTAAGGTTTGAAATGTATTAGAATGATAAATATAATCCATTAGTCGATTATTCTTCTATGAAAAATCGGCTGTTATAGTAAAACATTAATTTATTTTCATTTAAGTAAATAATTTAACAAGTATTAATATTTAATTTTAAATAACACAGAAGTTGTGAAATTTCAATTATACAAACTATTGTAAAATATAATAGATTTGTATCAAAGTGTTTTTTATGATAGTAAAGTTAATTAATGTCAAATATTATAAAAACATGCCCCAATTATACCGCTACCCAACTGCGCTAAGTTTCTTTAACCATAAAATATTATTTATATTTTTTACAAAAAATATTAGCTTAATTAGCTTACGCGTTAAAATTTGGATGAGAATTGTCAAACTTCTTTTTCAATTCTTCAGTTATTTTTTTTTTCTTTTCTTTATCAGAGTACAATGATGGTACAAATCCAGTTATTAAAATATTATTTATGAACTCTAAAATATCTAAAAATATATGTTTATGAAACTGTTTTAGTTTGTGAAATTTTCGTGAATGTTCGAATATAATTATTTGGAAACATTTATTTGATATTATTCTTCCAATAAAATTATAATTTATAAATTTTAATAAACTATTAGCTTAATATTTAGACTTTCTTGCAGAGGTTATTTTAGAAACTCTCCTTTATGTTGCCTTAGAATGAAAAGGTTATAATGTTAATTTTACTGTAAAACGTTTTAAATTAAAAATTTTTTTCTTGTATCCAGTTTTAAAAAATCTTTGATATTTTAAAACAGCCATAAATGTATTAAACAAAAACATTACGAAGCAATATAAATGCAAAAATAAAAAAAAATTGAAGTCTTAGAAATAAAACAATTCAAATATTAAAAATCTATTTCTGTCTGTGGTTGAGAAGTAAATAATCATTAATTCTAAAAAAAAATTATTATGAATATTTGGCGAATATAAGATGTAAATTTACAGAATTCATCATTATATCCTTAACCTCTAATACAATTATTTGGGTCGATTTTAACATACAATTTGATTGGATTATTACACCGTCTATCGAACTGACACAACCTCTTTATAGAGCCAATAATGAATGAGGTAAGGTGTGTATCGCTGTTAAAGCTCCCGTATAGTCATATATCCGGAAACTAATAGCTAATAGCGCAGCTTAACATCAAAGCTGAGGCATAGACTGAATGTGTCACATTACGTCACTAACCAAAACATACGCATAATTATACGCATTCATTTCAAATATTCATATTGAATTATTTGTTCCCAACTTCAGTACTCTTGAGATAAAGATTAATCATAAAGTTTGAGAACTATTTTTTTTAAAAAAACATTCATGAATGATATCACATTGAATTTTAATTTATCTGTTAAAAATAACTCATTCGTAGAGTTTTGAGCTCCAAACAACCTTATTGAAATTATTAATATTTTTCATTTATCAATCGATTGTGATCTCAGAGACAATATATTCTTATAAGTAATAATATTTAAATGTCTTATTTAACTTCAATAATTACTTTCTTCAATTATTTCTATATCATCAAGTATAAGAATTGTTGGTTGATTTTTAATTCCAGCTTCACAAAAAATTTGATGTAAAGTTTCTTTAAAATGTTGTTCAAATGTTTTACTATCATCTGTTTTATGACATTTATAAAAAAACATAGTATAACCTATCACAAAGAAAATTATTAAATTATTAAAAATTATAAGTTGCTATGATTCACTGAATATTCTATTATTTAAATAAACTATCAAATAAAATTAATTTATTAATATGAAAGTTAAACTATTATTTCAGAATAATTCAAATAAATTAAAAAGAATCCATGTAAAAATCAAGAATCTTTTGTACTTACTTAATATTAATAAATAATACTAAAATTTAAATATATTTGAATTTAAAATGAATTAAAAAATACTCACTAGTACATTATGATATTTTTGTAACTATTATTACCAAAATAAAATTTATAAATTGTTCACTATAAAATTATGTATTTAAAAAATTTATTTAATTCTAATATATTAAAAATCATGTACAGTATTATTAATTATTTTTAGTTACTTATAATTAAAAGAGAATATTTCTATAATATAAATATTGTTATTCTATAAAATATACCTGATGTATATGATGATAATTTAGATAATGAACTTTTTCCATTTCCGCTAGGTCCAATTAATATTACATGTCCTTTATTCATCCTTAATACACGGTGAATCCTAATAATATGGTCTAAGGAATTATTAAATAAGATCATATCTAATAAACCATAAGTTGTATTATATTTCGTCAATATCTATAATTAACAATTTTAGTTATATGTTTTTCACATATTTGTTACTTTATTTTACCTCTTGAAACAAATGATAAACCGAATCATAATCAATTAAATCTTCATATTTTCTTGAGTTATCTTTTGAATCTACAGCATTTCTGCAATCTCCAAATAAAAGTGGATCACGGAGTACGTAATCTAATTGTTGTGGAAAATACAGTTTCAATTCTTGTTTTAAGTGGAAATCAAAAATGTCTTTATCCTACAAAAGTCATATTTTAATTATTAAACATTATTATCATAAAAACTATTTAACAAAATGAATATTCAAAAAATTCTATAAGAATGTTTTTTTATTCAATAGATGTTGCCAAAAATCAAAATTGATATTAGCGCCTAGAAAAGAAAAAAATAATTTGCATCATACTTCTGAATATATTAATATATCTCAGTATGATTTATTTAATATAAGACAGTTTGTTGTAAAGAATATAATAGTTATAATAATTACAAGTACTGAGTATACGCATGTAACTTTCATTGTCCTTTTTTTATTAATCGAATATAACTCTGTTGTGTGTAAAATTATTTGTAATAATATGTCATTAGCAAAATTTGTAGTATAGGTAGAATTTAAAAAGAAAGAATATCTTTTGTACCTGTTGATTTATTAATCGATCACACATTACTCTAGTAATTTCATTTCGCCAAACTCGAACAAACAATTCTATTGTAGTGAATACTTCGGGTGATATGCGAGTCATTCCGTGAATAATTTGACTTATATGGTTTATGTTAAATAAATACAAATATCTTTCTGGTGTAGGATGAAGTTTTTCTAGTACAACCTAAAATAGTATTAATTGTGATTGCAAATAATTATAAAAAAACATGAATAATCATTCATTTACGTTGTATAAACCAATTGTCATGTTAATTATATTTTTAACAGCATTTCGTACATCTTCAGTAAAATTTTCAACGTGTATTGACAAAATGGTATGAAAAATATGTTTTATAGTATCATCTGACGATGATGGTAAATTAAATATTGAGCAAAGCGATAAAAATCGTGGATCTAAAATATTCCGACTTCCTCCAGAATAGCCCATTGCTGCAAAGAAACCTAAAATTTGTTAAGTAACTTTTAATTATTTATTTGAACTAACAATATTAATAATTATAAAGAGTGTTCAATAAGTAAGGAAACAAATCAATTGTTACAAACAATGAGAACAATGGAAACTCGTTTCCTTATTTGCTGAATACCCTATATATATATATATATATATATATATAAATACAGTCGTAAAAGAATTTCCATACACTGGTTGTCAGATTTTTTCCATAATATGTAATGGTAATTCAAAAATCGAACAATTTCATATTTTTAATAAGCATTTATTCAGAAACATATAAATATTTGTTTTTCGAAAATAACAAAAAAACTGTTCCTGTATATTTATTGATGTTTAAAAATAATTGAAATAGGAAAAACCTGTATGGACTGAAAGTTTTGCATATCAGCAAGCATTTAATAAATGTTTTAGTAACTAATAGGGACGATAAACATACGCTCACGTACATATTATTCAATTTACATACATTATACAATGGAGATACCAATTGCTATTCCGAAATTAGTAATTCAACTAAGAAAAGATAGTAATTCTCTCAGAAATATTTCTCAAACAATAAATAAATCGTATTAGACCGTACAGTATATTATGAAACTGGTTCTTTTAAAGAATGAAATTGTTCTGGACGTCCCCAAAAGTTTAACTCACATCAAAAGAGAGCCAGTCTAGGAAAAATTATGATGGAACCAAAAACCTGTGTATCTAAAGTGGCTTGTGTGATTGAAACTAATTTTAATGTAAAAGTTGTGTTCCAGAAATGTAATATTATTAAAAATATTTTAGTATGTTTGTTAAAAATATAATGTTATTTGATTTTTGAATTATCATTTTATATTATGGAAAAAATCAGACGACTATAAAAACGGAAAATTTTTTACTCGCTGTATATATATATATATATATATATATATATATATATATATATTTTAATGTGTTGATATATTGATTTACAAATGTCGACAAGTTCATTCCATCTAAAATAGTTTTCCTGATCGTAGATTCCTTGTTTATCGAATATACTTTTTAAGAAAGCTATAGGTGTTTGTGTACCCAATTCGTCTGCCTATAAGAATATATGACAACACGTAAACAGTTTATATTTGGAGTGTAAAAAAGTACAAATGAACTTAATGAGAAAATTTATTACATGTGGTAAATTTAAATCATCAATAAAGTAAACTAATCGTTTTCCAACAGGAGGGCCTAAGACATTTTGAGAACGTTGTTCTAAATTTGTTTTTAAGCTATTCTGCACTTCTATTGAAGACGTTTTAGTAGAGAAGTTTAAAGTTCTTTTCATCTGAAAAATTGAATATCATTTATAATATGTAATTCAATTAAGTTAAAAGAAAAATTATTTTATTATTATTTTGTTAGTAATATTCATCGTAGTTCAATGAATATTAATTTTTCAATTTTATATATAAGCTAAATTTAATCATAAAGTTATTGGAAAATCAAATTAAAAAACAATATATATATATATATATATATATCCTTGGTCTTAATAAAACTTACAAAATTTAGTGAACTTAAGCCATACAGAAAATATTGCAATAAAGCAGATTTCCCAGAACCCATTCTCCCAACTAAAATTGTAGGGCGCTTTACCTAAAACATAAAAAGAAACATTAAATTAATTTATTAAAGATAGTAAATAATATATTTGTTTTATAGTACTATATACTTATATAATGCTATTAATATGTGAAACTATTATTATTATTTTTTTTTTTTATTAGCCTTTAATACAAAAGTATTATTATAGTTAAACGATTAAAATAAAACTATACAATAGAAACTAAGACTATACAAAAAAAAAAAAAAAATGTTATTAAACACAATTAAACATATTGTTAAATTAATAAATTAAACGTACTCAAAATACTAAAAAAGAAAGAACAAAACAAAATAGATCTAGGATATTAAATTAATATATAGAAAAATATTAAATAACGAAGCCAGCTGAATGAACGAAGGAAATTATTTGTATAATTATTGGGGAGGATTTTGCATTAAGGATATTAAAACTATTAATGGTTGAAATATTAAGGGAGGACAGGAAATTGAACAAGAGTAAACGGTTATGTTGTAAAGCTGGGCAATCAAATAGTAAATGACAGAAATTACAGGGTACTTCATCATTGTGTTTGTGGCAGAAGGGGGAATGGTTTAGTGACATGTTAAAGGCATGAAAAGGTAGCCGATTATGACCAAATCTAAGACGGGAAAATGAGGTAATATGGAAACGGGACAGAGGAAGGTTGTAAAACCAAGGATGTTTAGGAATAATTGGAACTATAGATTTATGCCATTTTGCTAAAGAGAAATTTGACCATTTATTTTGCCATGCTTTATTAATAGTTAGATGACAAGAGGAAAGGAGATCGAAAAAGAGAATTTTTAGGATAGGTGGTCGGTTGAAGGAGTTAGTGAGTTTGGCTAGATGGTCTGCTATCTCATTGCTAGAGTTTCCGACATGACTTGGACACCATAAAATTTCAACATTAATATCCATTAAATAGAGATTATAAATTAAGGCTTTAATTTTGATTGTGAGGAAGGATCTACTCTTTATAAAAGGAACTGAGGAAAGAGAGGATAAAACTGACAGTGAATCCCAGACAATCGGAACATTTATTATATTAAGTGATTTGGCTAATTCGAGAGCCGAGGATATCGCATAAGATTCGGTGGTAAATGAACAAGCTTTTGAGAAGAGATTATCTGAGAAATTCATGTTTAGACTAGGAATTAAAAAGGAAAAGCCGGCGGAGTTAGTATAAACTGAGCCGTCAGTGAATATGAGGCATTAGTTAGCAAAATGAGAGGAAATGAGTTCATCAAAAAGATAATTGACAAAATTAGTTGGGAGAGATTGTAATTGAGGCTTGATATAAGAAAGAAATGGATGGTTAAAATGAATTTTTGGAAAATGAGTAAGTGCATGAAATGGAATGTCATAAATAAGTAGGCGATTGATTGAGGTAATTATGGAATTAAGGTAGGGAATCAAGGTAGTAGAAATAGAGGCAAGTAGAAGAAGAGTTTTGGGTACATATCGACAAAGTAAACTTAGTGAGTGAAAACAATAAAATATTAAATTGGCTGGACTGGATATCTGTTTTAAAAGGAATTTATGGGCTAAGTAACGAGATCGAATTTTAATGGGAGGGCATAAACATTCTACTTGTAAACTCATATCAGGGGTAGAGTAAACTGCACCTATAATTGTGCGTAAGCAAGCAGAGAGTAGAGAATTTATTTTTTTTACGATGAACAGTGGAAGCCGAGACGTATAAAAAGGAACCATAGTCGACTTTAGAGCGGATAAGAGCTTTAAAAGTGAAACTATTATTACTGTAATAACAGTATAATACTCGTTAAAAAAAAACAATTTATATTATTTTAATTAAATATAAAGAGAATTTTTGTCATATTTTAAAAGCAATTTACCTTTTTGAAAGAAACACTTCTAAAATGGAACTGAAAAAAAATGCGTTTAATATAATTTAAAAAAATATATTTATAATATTGTTATATTTAAGTAATCACTTCATTTATTAGCTGAAGTAGCCATATAAATTTTGTTGTGGACACCGTTGGGATAAGAATTTCATTAAATTTAAAATTTAACTTATGACTGTAAACAGGAACTACTTTTTCCCAAGATATCCACTCTAATTTATTGAAGTCTAAATAATAGTCATACCATGTGCATTCACCACATGGTATGTATTTTAAGTTTATTAATTTTGACTGGTCTTCATTTATTGAAAATAATGGAAAACCAGTCAATTTTTTTACAGATGCATCGAAAGCATATTGAGATGAATCATCTGCGAGCGAAGCTCCAAGCGATAAATATAATGCTTGTATAAATACAGCTTCTAGCATATCTACACCAGCAATAAATGTTGCCATTGAATGTAAGGGAGTAGACGACGAGTCTTCAATTAATGACATTCTTTTTTCAAAACTAGTTTTTGTAGATTTATTGTTTGATGAAACTAAAGGTAGCATTACATCCAAAATAAAGCATAATTGAGTCACCTAGAAATATATTTCTGTAAGGTTATTGAATTTAAAAAAAATAGTCCTCATTTCCAATTAAATTAAGATTGGAGTTGGACCTTTAATAATTATCTCAGTCATATTTCTGAAAAAATATTTTGGTTTATAAATTTTACTACGCAGTAATTGTATTTCATTACTAGATTCAATTTTGTTTGATGAACTGCCATACTCAACACTCCTGTACATGCATTGGTACATTTTTCACCGAAAATCAATTTTAATAACTCTGGGACATATTTATGAAAACATTGATCCATAGCTGTTTGCTCCATTAGATTTTTCGATTTCAGCCAACAATCCCAATACGGTTCATATCCGAGGTCATTTGGATCAATAAAAATTAAACTCATTCGAGAAATCGTAGATGGAGTCGAGTAATTCAAATTACCAACCTCAAATAAAAGCTTACACTGTGGTCTGATCCTGAAAAAGTTATCTAAATTCATGTAAGTTTAACATTAGTACCTATACATATTAAACTTTTAAATAATTTTATTTTGTTAAAAAATGATTCAATAAATAACACCGGCACACAAAAAAAAAAAGTTGTCTGTACTTTTGACCGGACCCACCTACAGACATGTATTTTGACCTGCTGAATCCGAATTTGAAGTCCGTTTGGCCCGGTCACCCTTCAGATTTGAGTAAAATGCAATAAACAAAAAATATGCAAAAAATTGCAAAAAACTGCAATTAAAGCGATGAAAAAAATTTTGTGGACCCTGATCAAGTATGATTTTTATGTATTTCAATTTACTGAAACTGAATCTGAACGTTAATTAGTCCGTTGAATCGTCAACATTTGAAAAATAACAAAAAAACCCAAAAATTGCAATAAATCACGAAAAATCGAAATTATTGAGATGAAAACAATTTTTTGGATTCAGATTGAGTATGATTTTTATGTATTTTATTCCACTGAATTTGAATCTGAAGTTTTCTTGTCCCATTAACATTTTAAAATAAAAAAAAATCTCAAAAAACCAAAAAAATTAGGAAAATTGTAGTTATAAATATGAAAAAAAATTTATATAACACGATTAAATACTTTTCTTGTATTTTATCACGCATAAAATATGAGTTTAGAATATGAAAATATAAAAAATTGTAATATTTATAAAAAAAAATGACTAGAATGAAGAGAACGATTTTCTCGAATTTTAACCTCTTCATGCATCGTGGCATCATATGATACCACTAAATTGTAGAATTTATATAAAATCGAAAAATTGTGGTAGCTATGTTATTATTATTTTCGTTTAATGTACGGAATGTTACGCATCGGTCTACTTGGTTATGTTATCATTTGTGTTATCATTGAAAGAGATATATTAATAAACGCGAAACTGTTTTGTGTATTTGAAAAAGTCGAATTTTACTTTTTTTTTATATATAATTAACGACCAAATAATGTAAGTATATTTATAATTAATTACTTTTATTACATAATATAGTACGATCTATTCATATTTGGCAATATTGAAACAATATAATGTTGTTATGTATTCGAACATTCCGTACATTAAACGAAAATAATAATAACATAGCTACCACAAAGTCAAAAGTGCAGACAACTTTTTTTTTTTGTGTGCCGGTGTTATTACATCTAATTATTATATTCTTAAAACATAGAGTGTTTATTGTCAATTATGACTATCATTAGATATACTTTTTATACTGCCAGTTAGTGTATTTATAAACTCACAACAATGTGCCTTACTTCCATTGATAATAAATGCTGTGTATCTACGAATATCGATGTCATAAAAAACTAATAGCTGTATTTGTAATTCTTTGTGTATTATACATATATATTAACTCAAACATTTGAAACTTTAAATGTTTATATCTAATAAACTAATAAAGTTACATTTAAAATTTAAATGCCATTTACTGTTAAATTAAAAACTCAAACATTTTATTAAATTCAAAATATGTGTTCCCATTTAAAAAAACAAAATTGACCCCCTTACAAGGCATAAGGGATGAACTTAAAAAGTATTACATAGTTAATAATTCAAGAATGATGTGTAACTAAAGATAAAAAAAAAATAAATATGTTTAAATTATTTTTATTATTACTGTATAGTGATCAGCAGTGATTTCGTAAAATATTCAATCATTTGTGAGTTTATCATATACATTATAAAAGCACATTTGTATTATATATATATATATTTAACATGAATTTCAATATATGTAAATAGGTATAATTCAAATAGTTTTCATAATATCATTACTAATGATGAAGCCAATGAAATTTTAAAGATTATAAAGCTATGTTTGGTACCGATGAGTTTTGTGAAGTCATTCAAATTGTTGAATTCAACAAGAACACACACTAACACACGACTTATATTGAAAAAAATATTTAGAAACCGATTTAAAAACAGAAATAAATTATGAGTAAACCCGTATTTCAAAATGAATTAAAAAGATAAAAATTGTTTGTATGATTTATATATGTATATATATATATAATTAAATAAAAGAAAATGTTTTGAATAACTTTATAATTATGGTGTTGTAATAATGTTTAATCTCTTTAATCTCCTTGGAAGGGATTGAAAAATTAATGTCAATTTTGAATTCAGCGACTTTAAAAACATATATTTTGATATAAGAAACTAAAAAAATGACTAAAATAAAAGTACTCTTTAAAATCTTTAAAATAGAGGAAATAAAAAATTATTATAAAATTTGAATCCAACGATCTCAAAAAAATATATTAATTAATTCTGTATTTACCTAATTTGTTCACCGTTGTTTAATATTAATGTTTTATTATCATCTATCACAGAATTTAGTTCATGAATCCATAACAAATCTAAACTGCCATCAAATAATATAAAGTGATCAAATATATTATTACGTATAATTGGTTGATTAATTTTTCTGAAAATATATGTAAGTAATCCATCTTTCCAATCTCTTGTTATTGTATCTATGTATCCATAAAGTTCTGATATGGTGAAAGCATTGGGATGAATGGTTGTTAATTGGATAACTTTTTCAATGTCGCTCAATGCTTCACATATAATTTTAAGTATAGTAGATTTGCCTCCGCATGTAGGCCCAATTAATGCCAGGGAATTTCGATATTTAATTACATTTAACGAGTCAATAATTTTTTCAATTTGATTATCAATTTTCTTATAATTGCCTTGAGCAATTATTTTTTCGATAGATACTTTTAAACTAAGGTTATTGGTAGTGAAATGTTGATTTTTCGGAAATAAGTCCGATAAAAATGATAGGAATAATTGTTTATCATTTTCATTTAATTGGGGTAAATAAAAATCTCTGAAAGAAAAAGTATATTTTTATTTTTTAATTATCTTATTTAGATATTTAATGTAATTTATTAATATTGCAAATAATACTTTAACGCTTTTGCAACTATATCTTTTTCTTTAAAGTCAGAATGATCATTATTGATATTGCTTATGAAAGAGATAAGCGCTTTTAAAGATCTTAAATTAAAGATAAAGTTGAAAGGTGTAGAAAGTTGTGCTTTGCATAATTTGTACAATAATGTAATTTTTTTGGACAAAACCTGATAAAAATAAAATTAGTAAAAAATCATTTTGTAAAACCAAATTTTCTAATAATTTTATTAGTACTTTTGCTTTAAGAAGTCCTACGGAGTATAGCATTGTTAAACATATTTGCTGAAAATCAGGTACTATTAAAGAAGCCGGTCGAAAATTGTTTTTTATTATTTCATCAATTTTTGTTGAATTTTTATTAGGTTTTTCAATATTCATCGTTAAGAAAATTCCACAATTTAAATTTATAATTGGACTACATCCCTTCAATTGTATAAAAAAAATTAAATGAATGGTAAAGCTATTATTGTAACATTTATGTAGCATATATTTGCGTATTACTTTTGATATATTTTCGTTTGTCAATAACTGACACTTCAGAGATGAAAATAAAGTTGATAAAATACATACTGTTTTTTGGTTTATTTTGTTAAAATTTTGAAATAAACCCCAAACTTTACTTTTGCAAATCCCAATTAAAAATTGTTCAAATATTTCATGGTTTAATTGATCACTACATGTTATAACTTTGCATAGTTGTCCAAATAATTTGGACATTGTTAATATTGTTTGCAATTTCCCAGTTCCAGAATTACCTAAAATAATCATTAATCGTTAAATTTATTAAAATAAAAATATGTTAATATTAAATGAAGTTTAATAATGTTAATTTCATGTATCTTATGTTTAAGTTAGGGTAATAAATTTTATTTATATTATAATTACCAATAAGCGCGCCTCCTACATTCATTTTTAAAGCCTGAGTAAAAGTTAAATATATTCGATTAGTTAATGGCGTAATTAATAAATTTCTATTCGATCCCATGTACTCGTGACCAAATTGAAAATACTCTATATAGTTTAACAACAATTTGCTTATATGTTTTATATAAATTTAAAATAAAAGAACATACAAGAATAATCAAATAAATTATGAATCAAAATTGATTGAATTCATTTTTTAAAGCATGTTATTTTATTTACCTGAACATTGAGAGAAGAATAAATTATTTTCAGATTTCAACCAATAATATTTTAATGTACAATCCCATTCGAAATCACTGATACTTGTAATACTAAAAATATGTACATAAATTAAATGATTTAGCAACTGAATATGTTTATTTGTAGTTAAGTTTTTATAAATACTTGTTGTTCACGAAAAATTCTATTGTATCTTTTTGGTGAACAAAAGATAATAATAAGGAATTTAATTTTTTCCTATCACTTTCAATTATTTGATCATTGAGTGCAATACCAATTTCTTTTAATCTACCTTTTAGTTGATTTAAATATTTTCTCATACTTAATTTTTCTCCCTAAAAGATAAGCGTATAAAATTATTACTAAAACAATAATAAATATCAGAATAAAATTTATTTAGTAATAATATGTTGTTTCTTACTAATTGAATTTTTCGGAAAGTGTTTTGTACTTCGATTGTCCACCATACATAATCCGCAACTAAACAAACTGAGCCTTGAAATTTTTTAATCCAGCCAAACTCATTAGAATTAAAAATTGTTCCTAATTCAAAAATAGCATTTTTAACCAAGAAATGATGCGTTTTGTGTATTTCATTAATTAATATAGGTAACCAATGATCTACAGAATTTTGTACAGCTATAACATTTTTTAAAGTCAGTATTTCATCTTCACAAGACTTGATTGCCGTAATTGTAAAGGTTTCATCGTGATTTTGAAACAAGAAACATTTTATATTATTAAACACCTGATTAATCATTACAAAATATAAGTAATAGGTAATAATTCCTAAAGGTACTTTAGTATCATTTTAGGAAAAAATAAACTGTACTTGAATAATAATTTCTTGTGCATCAAAAGGATTGAGGCTTCCATAAATTTGCAGTAATTTGTCATCAGATAAAAAATAAAATCTCGGACATAAGTTTCTTTTATCTAATGCAAATTTTTTCAAAGTTTTCTTGCTAAATCCTATATTTTCTTCCAACCATAAAATTTGGTTTGAGATATCAGTGTTAAAACATAGTTCATTAACTCTTTTTTTTGAATACGCATAAATCATTACCTATGAATTAATTCCATATATTTTTAAAAGATAAAATTTATATTAGACATTTCTTTTAATATGTAATTTTTGATAAACTAGCTTTTATTTCCCAAAATAATATTTTGTTAACACATCTTTTATAAAAAATTTATTAACATTAATATACACATATAGTAAATATGATTAAAAGGAATAATAAATTATTAAAATATCAAAAATATTATAATAAAGAAGAAATAGACGTAGACATAAAATAAAAAAATAAAATAAATCTAATATATTTATTTTAAAGTTAATATCAACCATGTTAAAAATACATTTCAGCAATATTCAAAATTATTTTAGATTATAGAGAACTTATTTAAAAAAATAATTTATCGCGTGTAAATCTGGAAATTTATAATAAAACCCCTAGAATTAAAATATTTGTTTGGTTTTATATCTAATATTTTTCTAAATATTTAGAAATTAGATATTTATAGTAAAAATAGTTAAAGGTATTAAATATTTTATTATATAAATATGGACTTTTCTTACTCTTAACAAAAGTTGTGTAATACACACAAAAAAAAAAAAATAAAGTATACAAAATTAAAATATGTTTAATTTTCCAAATATAATTACTACTAAATAGTCTTTATAATACTTAAAAGATAAACATTGCTGGATAATATTTATAGTAGGTACAATAAGTAAAATATATCAATGTAGTAGCTTACATTTCTGTATAGTTTAAGAAAATCCTTAACTTGATTTACTTCTTCCGTGAAATTGGTTTTTAATTCCTTATTCAAATAGATTTCGGCTAAAGAAATCAATTTTTGTTGTAGTGACCACCATTTATTAAGAACTTCATTTATTGTTGACAATTTTTTTCGAGAATTTTCGACAGTTATTAGAAAAGGCTCTACAGCACTTTAGAATTTTTAAATATTTAAAAAATAATTCGTATTACATTATAATACGAAATATTATATTTATTTATAATTATATTAACATACTTATTGTTCATTATTTTACTTATTATAATTTGATCATTTTCTAACAATTGTAAAATATCTTCAACTTCTTGCAAATGATAATCTATTTTTGATAATGTAGTACTTTGTTCTATTTTTAAATTTATAGTATTCCATCTCTATAAAATAAATTATGAATATAAAATTTTTATTGATCGATTAAGAAAAAATTTCATTAAATTATATATAAAAACATTAATTACTATTTTTATAATTTTTAATTGATTTTCTATGTCACTCTCATTGGTTGCTTTTTCTAGAACGCGTAAAATTACGTTTTTATTTTTAACAACTTGCATTTTCATTATTGTACCAAAACTCAATACATCTTCTGAACAATTTGTATTTAAATCTTAAACCAGTGAACATTTTTTTAATATGATATCAGAAAATATTACTTGTTTTATTTTACCTATCGTTTCTAACATTTCTTTCCAATGTCTTGGTTTTAAGTCTTTGGATTTCAGTTTCAAAAAAATAGGAATACTTTGTCTCAATTCTGATAAATATCTTTTTAATATAAAAGCAGGTTGTGTATTTCGAATTAATGTGGGTAATCTTTTGAATTGCAGCATAAGTGCTCCAAAAATCTCTCTTACAAAATCTATGTCAATTTTTGTCCATGGTAATTTTGACCATTTTTCAATATCATATTTTTGTTTTTTGTATAAATTACATACAATTTTAATGTTTTGGAATTCATTATATAGGTTATCAAAATGTTCAGTCTGTAACAAATTTAAACTATATATTTCTTCAGCTTCGGTTAATGCTTGTTTTCGTTCCATGAAATATGCAAATGCATTGTTATGTTCCTAAAATATTTAAAATAAACATAAGTACTATTGTAAAAAATATTATTTTAATTTAATTTAACTTATTACAATATTGGATTACTTGATATATTAACAAACACCATTGTGTCTTTAAAATACAAAATTTATATGCACTGTAACTGTAAAGAAACACATACAAGTATGGTCTATGATATTTTGTTAAGTCATCATAAAAAAATTGTAAGACTACACAATTCTTTTTCTTTTTTTTTAGCAGCATATAATATGATCTGATATTGCCTATTCAATTTATGAAAATTTTGTTTAGTTGTTCGTCCAATAAATATAATGTTACTTTATTTATTTATTATTATTTTTAGCTTCGATACAAATCTGAGAAGGTATTAATTTTACTTTGATGTGTTTTTTTTTAATTTAATTTTTTTTTTTTTTGTGTCCCTTACCACTTTTTCTCAGCTCTCACCAAATCGATTTCTTTCAACGATACACCAAAAGATCACAAATCGTATCTAGTCAAAGAAATTACCCTCAAAAATTGAAAAAATTTCCCTCGTTCCCCGTAAATGGGGGGGATATCTCCAAAAAAATTACAAATTTAAAAATCGCTAATTTTCAAAATTATTTCATTTTTTTTTACTTAAAGCTGCCATAATTTTTTCAATAATAATTATATTAATATATTTTCTTTTTTTATAGATGCATAATGTCTTTACCTATTATTTGATTATTTTTTTTATAAATCTGACCCTTTACCTGCCCACAGGGGGGATTCAAAATGACAACTTTTTCAACTTAACTTTTTAGAGTGTTTCGGAAACACTGACACTTTTATATGTATCTTAAATTATAGCTTATGTTTTATACTATATTATGAAAAAAAAAAAAAATTTCAGACTTTATTTTGACTTCACGGTGAAAATTGCTACCGTATGCTATTTTTGTATTAATATTCTCGATTTTATATTTTACATTATTAACTTTTTGCTATAACTTTTTGAAAAGTGTATAGATCAATACAATTTTTTTATGAGAAATAATATTTATATCCCTATTTCATTCGACAGATTTGCATTGAAGCGTTTTTTATGATAGAGATTTTAATCACTGTTAGATATCATTATACTTGACCCAACTATGCCACATCCCCACTGTATCGCGACCCCACTGTGTTGGGTTTTTTCAATACTACTATATAGTAAAAAAAATTACAAATCACCAATTAAATCACTACTACACTTTCTTTAATGAGCTGAATATTGGCTCAGTATTCATTTAGGAGTCACATGGGAGATAAGAAGGAAAGAACTCAATAAAAAAAAGAATGTTAAAATTTTCTTATGGAATTCATTAAAAATTGCAACAAAATCTGATTTATGCGTCATTCAAGAACTTTCCTAGCTTGGTCAGTTTTAAATTTACTTCATTAATTATAGTTTTTAATTCTTACAAGTATTAAGTAATACGAATAAGAGGACAATGTTGTTGATGAAAGTAGTACTGAAGTTTATGAACTACAGTGAGTCAAGTAAATATTCGGACATTGTCTAGGAAATATAATGTGTTTATTGAATTGTTATCGTCTTACAGACCTTTAAGTATGGTTTAATCACTCGATCAACATATTTTTCTTATGGTGTTGATGCCGTATTATTTGAGTTTTTATTAATTACCTAGTTATAAAGTAAATGATGCCGTGTCAACACAGCTATACGTGTTTTTGTAGTAAAAATTGAAGTAGAGGATCAGCAGATTCAATTTTCACATAAATGACATTAATATTAGATTCATTCTGACATTATTGTTGATAGCCAAGTACCTTCAATAATGGGGTAATGGTAGTAACAAGATGTGGAGATTAAACAGTAGCAGTTGTTGTTAATTTTTGTCGAGTGATGTATCATATAATAGTCATAGTTGTTCATAAGTTTGTACACACATGGAATGCTAGTGTTCTTTTAGATATAAGTATAATATATAAGTATCATCTAATCATTACCTTTGTACGGCTGTATTAATTTATACTCGTTATATAGATCATATTAGTTTAAATGGTACCAGTTAGTATTGTTAAAAAAGTTACCAATGCCAACTTTGGTCAAAGAGCATAGCTAAAATTCAGGCGGACCTTTTAAGAAAAGAGAAGGTTGAAACCTAGTCCTATTTCACAGTGAGATTATTATTAAGGAGATATAATATTTTTTATACAAAAACGACTAAATATTATTTCATTATATAAAAATTTACCATATTTTTAAAATTTTTTATGATTTATGAAATTGAAAAGTTCATGATACAAAAAATACTTAAAAATTATTACTCTTTTTTTTAAGACACCATAAATTTTAAATACAAATTTTATACGATAAACGAAATTGTTTTACTTACTTCAATTAATAGTATTTCAAAATTTAAATCATCTTTTGAACGTTGTAAACAGTATTCTTTATAACTATGTATAAATTGTTCAAGATCCTTGAAAAATGATCTAATTTTTATTGCAATTGCGTATGACCATATAATTTTGACTTGGTCTAAATATTTACACTTATCTGCTACATTATTTTGTAATATTATCCAATCATCTTGCAATTGTGCAATAATTGATAAATCCTCAGAAGGCATGGTCATTTTAGCCTGCTCCAAGATGTATAAATAGTAGTTGATATTATGAAAACAGTGCTCAATATTAGTACAATCTTTTCTCGTTTTTTTTAAACCATTGAGTAAATTTTCAAAGTCTTTTTGACTTTTTACTATATCAAAGTCAACCATTTTTTTTAATTCCTAACAAAGTAAAATAATTAATTGGAAAAAGAAATTACCAGTACTAAAATTGTAGCAACAAAAAGTAATTATTAACAGAGTGAATAATAAAAGATTCAATAATTTAAAAAAATATTAATAGTGAAAGTAATAATACTTTTTTAATAAAAAAATTTGTTAATATTGTTATTTAATCTTTTTCATAAAATATATTTAAATCATATTACATTTACAAAATTTTCTTAATTAGAGAAGGGTACTAAGCTCTAATAAATTCCGCTTATAATTTTTTTAAAATGTTAATTATCAGATAAATTTAATTGTTAATGATAAATACTTGCATTTATTACAATACTTTGATCATACACCAATTGTTTTGTAATACATATAAGTTCATCTGCATATGTTTTCATTGATTCATTTATATAAATTTGCATATGATTTATAACTGGTGTTAAATTTAATCTATAATGTATCAAATTTTTTTATTATATGATTATGGTTTTTTGAGTTATTTTCTACAAACCATAAAAATGAACTTACTGAATACAATTAATTTTTTTTAAAGAATTCATAATCGAAAAATGTTTCCTAAGTCGTAAGTAGTCTTGAAATTTGTGTTCATATTCGAATATTATTAAATTACTATATTCATTATTCATATTATGACTAATTGTAACTTTTTTGAATGATAAAAGTATAAATTGTCTCCAACTAAGAAAAGAATTATAAATAATACTAGTCATCAAAATGATACTTTTTAAATTCATTAGAAAAAAATATATAATTTTAAATATTAATTTAAAACTATATAATTAATTAAATAGTATAAGCTATAATTTAACATTTGTTTGAAGTACAAAATGAATTTTCAAAAAATGTATAGTATATATAAAGGGAATACTTAAGGTATTTTTATAAAAGAATGTGTTGTAATTCACCTATTTTTAAAAATGTTAAAAAACTTTTTAGCATTATAATAACAACATGTTAGATCCATATAAGATTTGGGGGGAAATTTTTTTTCCTACTTATAGTAATAGTATGAGCGATAATTTAACATGTATTTAAAAGATGCAGTATTTCCGGAACATTTTCAAAAGTTAAGTTGAAAAAGTTAAATTTCATATAAAAGTTCCTATAACACAATATTTTAAATTCTTATCCATTTTTTATTCAATGATATTAATTTTAAGTAGAATTTAAAAAAAAAAATTTATGATAAAAAGTTCATCTTTTTTTTTTATAAATGTTCATAAAAATCAATTTTAAAAGACTAAAAAAATACATTTTTCATAATATTTGTGATAAAAATTTCGCAAAGTTTATTATTAACGAGTTAAAAATTAAAATCAATAATAATTAGGGAAAAAAGTTCTTTTATGTTTAATGATGCGTTTTAAACTGACACGGCACCGCCTTTTGCTCTAGGCTGGCGCTCACCCGTGTCTCTCTCGATATCAGCCGTCCAGCTATTAATATGACAATCGGTTGTCATCCCGTCCTTGACACTGAGATAAGGCCGCCGCCGAATATGGATTACCGATATTGCTTTCTGTTCCGTTTTCGACGTACACCTCGACTGGTGGGTTAATTTTGGTGCTGTCTGTTTCGTTTTTCGGCGTACACCTGAAGTGGTATATTTTTCTGTGGTTCTTTTTCGTTTCGTTTTGCTTTGACGTACATAGTTCTAGCGAACACGACTACGGCGTTTAGATATATATATATATCGTTGTAATTAATCGTGCGCCCTATTTGGATTACGCATCATCTTGTGATAACTGTATTTATACTTATATAAATATATACTTTTGAGTTAATTGTGCGCCCCCTTCTGGATTACGTGACAAAACATTTGTTTTTTTATTAATAAAGTATCTTTATAATAAGATATTTTACTGTAATTATCTTTAAAGCTAGAGGTTATAGAAAAAATCTATTCGCAGGTTTAAAATCAGTGAATTAAATTAAATTTAATTTAAAAAAGTATATTTTTGTCTCTAATTAAAATTCTTTGTTAATCAATTATTGAAAGTTTAAGTCTTATAACTAAAGCTTAAAACTTTCACTAACTATTGGTGTTGATGACTCTTTTTGAGTAAAATTTATTTGGTTTGAATAAAGATAGAATGAATCTAATAGTATTACTGTTGGTTATTAAAATTTTACTGGAAAGACTTACACTAATATTAATTTTTACTTAATTTTATTGAGTATTATGCACTAATTATACCGAGTTAATATATAAATAAACATATCCTTATAAAGATGTTTTGTCCAGTGACTTAATAGTTGACCAATCAAAGTTTTATAGAAAATAAACCTAAGTATACTTTTATTTTTTTTTACGTTTAAATAAACGTAAAATTTTGAAAATAAAATTTTTTAAATTACTGACATATGAAATTTAATTTATTTTTCAAGCAAGTTGTTGTTAAATACTATTAATATATATTGGTGTTAAAATGTAGTGAAAAAACGAAATAAAATAAATTACATCATGAATTTTAATACATATTTTTGTTCAATACTACCTTTAAACATACCTTTTTAAATAATTTTTTATTTCAACCATTATGTTATATGTATTCTGTTGAATTTGTTTTATATATTTTTGTACATCAGTACTTTTTATAATTTCTTCGTAAAACGTATTTTTAATATTTGTAATACTTAATTGATTTTTAAAATATTCATCGTTGTATAAACATGACTGTTTTTTCCATCTGGGTAGAGATTTTAACAAATCTAAAAGCTTTGAGACATTACTAATAATGGTATTGTAAGTATAATAAATATTTGGGATGATAGTAATTTTATTCTTTGCAACAATTGTCTTCAAGTTAATCATTGTTTCGTTATTCATTATCAAATTATTGTAATTTTTTAAATTGTTCAAACACATCCTTTTAACAAAAAATTAAAAATTAATTGCAGAAAAATTGGTTTATATTGTGCATACTATTGTTCTTTATATGGGCGGTTCATAAATTCATTTTATGGTCGTATTGCTATAATTGCCTCCCATGATAAAATGATAAAATAAATATTTTAAAAACTTATTTCATAAACATAAAAAAAATATCGTTGATTATACTGCAATAGCGTGCATAATTGACGGGACCTAGTTTTTAAGTATTTTTTATTAAGATATAGGCCAAATTATATTCTTTATATTATTGAAGAAACAATAAAACTCCTCCTTTCCATATGAATTCTTATATATGTCACTTTATGTAAACAAAAAAGTGTGTAACAGCAATACTTATTTTCTTTTAGTTCCTTTTCCTATTATTCATATGTATATATACTATATATTATATAGTATATTTTTATCCAAATATTTTTTAATTGAATATATTTATACAATATTAATATTAATACTAATATACAATATTAGTATCATTTAAAAAAAAATATTATGAGATTGAAAAAAACTCTTGGGAAAATATTTGATGTCAAATTAATTACTTATTACAACATAAATATGGTATAGTATAAATAATATTAGATTAATAAATCTAATTGAATCTAAATTAATAAAGTAATAAATACATAGTTATAATTTACCTCAAAAGAGATTTAAATATTATGGTATCTAGCATCTCATAAATTTCAAACATCGATTCACAGCAGCCACTATTTGTACCAAATAAGTTGTGTTCTAGAATTATTAATTGTTTTGAGATATCTTTTAGGGTTAATTGAATACGTTGGAACTCGTAAATCCAATAAAATTCGAAAATTGAAGTCATTTTTATATTACTCTAAAAGAATACAAATACTACTTAATCATTTTATGGAGTAAAGAAAGAGGATAAGAAAAACTTTATATCAAAAAATATTTTTTGTTATTGCCTTCTTGTCGAAACTTAAAATATACAAGTTTATCGTACTAATTTTAGATTACTTTTGATAGTGTTCTCAATATACTAGAAAAGATCTAAGCTTATTATAAGTAAAATTTGTTGAACTATATCACAAGTTATATATGATGTTTAAAAACTTAAAAGTTATAAGTCATTAAAATTAAGTTAGGTAATGTATTGTGGCTTTAAAAACACCTTAATTTTTTAAATTTTACTATTAAGTTTTTTAGTTAAGCTAAAAACTAAAATTAGTAATATTATAAACTGTTCGATTTTCAAACTAAACCAAACCAAACATTCTGAATTTGGTTCCATTTGAAAATTGAACTAAAACTTTTTCCTAGATAATTGGTTTGGGTTCAATGTAAAATTAAAAGTTTGGTTCGATATTGAAAATCAGGACTCGTAATGAAATTACTAAAAATAACTTAAATTATATTAAGTCTAACTTTTGTATATTAAAAAAATAAATAAATAAAAATGATTATGTGGTCTATTTTTCTAAAATCTTATAATATAGGAAAACTCTGAAAATGTTGTTGAAATCCGTTGATTTTTGAACAAATTCTGAGCTATTTTATACTTTTTTGACACTTAGAACGTCTAGCCGTGTTGCTTATAATTTCTTTATACACTTTGCGCTTTGAAATTAAATGAATTATTTAAGTAAAAAAAACAGACATTTTTTTTGGGTGGATCATATTGAGAAGAATATCCTATTGTAATATATACAAAGAGAAATTATTGTGATGACTTTAACCAACAAATGTCAACCTTACAATTATATGTTTAATATTTTTTTGTTATACTGATTTTAAAGAAATTCTACGGGAATCTTTGATATACTCGTAAAACCGTTTTCACACATAAAGGTAATATCAGAGCAGGTGTATACCAGATTCTATGTTATCAAATAAATGCTTTTAAACAAGGCCCAGCCTAATAAAAATGACAGTTCGGTATCGACACCGAAATGTGCTGCCGGTGTTGAACTCGATACTAATACTGAACCAATTATGGAAATTATCTAATATAACATCACCAAGTTCTTTTTGGTAAAGGTAGATACATTTATGTGTAACAGTATTTTTTAATTAATTAATAATTATTAATAAATTAAAATTATATTTGATACTAATTATTACAAACTATTCAATTCATCTATAGTATAAAATAATTTTGTTTATGAAAACGAAAGTAATTTATCTTTTAATTACCTTATAGTAACAGAAATAATTTATTTTGGGGGAACAAAAGTTCCAATGAGCATTAGGGTGGATCAAAAATGTCGATCATCGAAATTTTAATAAGAATTCTTTTAATTTTTTTATACAGAGTGTTCAGTAAATAAGGGAACAGGTAAATTGTTACAAACAATAAGAACAATTGAAATCCGTTAACTATATACATTAAAATAGACATTTTATGAATATTTGAGATTTTCAAAAGAAATTTTACTGGTCGCTCAACGTGTTATTAGTATTTTGACCAAAAATACCTAATCAAACAAAAACCAGCCTTTGTTATTCAATTTTTAGTCAAATATTATGATTATCTCATTAAAACAATTTAACATTTACTATAGAATAACAATTTTTTATTTTCAAAATTGTAATTCTATAAATGCTAACGTGGATATCATAATTAGCGTCATTATATGGCATAATCTAGTATATCTATTTGCTAATTCTTTTTATGTCTGTCGAGAGCTGAACATATATTTTATAGGTTATTCATATGCAATGTGCTAAAACCGATATTGGATTTCGCACCGACTTCCGGTTTTATTGGTGTATGTGAAATACACGAGCACCCGATACTGGCTCTGATAATGTCGGTGTGTGTGAAAACAGCCTAAAAGACCTAATGCATCATAGGACGTGCAGGAACCCAGGTCGGGCTGAGTATTCTAGGCTTCACCTAGTATAGTATGTATTAACATATACTATATTTATAATTAATAGTATTAATATTAATAAAGTCTAATTAATATTTATTATTTATATATTAATGACTTATATCTTATAGCAATATTTTATCAAATTATTTAAATACTTCGTTACCATTTCATTTATGTCGTTAACTGTTTTATGTATTGGAAATAAATTTAAACTTTCTATTATTGTGGTAGATTTTATGATGTTTGATTCTATCTAAAAATTATATTAACAATTTAATTACTATAAATTTATGTAAAAAAAAAAATCATTAAAATCATAAACTTACTATTTGTAGCCTTTTATACTGATTTTTTAACTTATTAATCAAAATAATACCATCACGAGTATATGAGTCTATACTCATTGAAAACCATTTATAACGCGAGAGACCAGTGAAAAAATAATTTTCAATAATCTTCAGTTTATGTTTTAATATTGAACGCTTTAAAAAAATAAAGAGGAAAATTATTTTTCGTAAAGTATTTTTTTTTTTTATAGACTAAGTATTAAGTAAATTACTTGCGCATTACTCATTGAAGTTAAAATACCATTGTACATTACTACCATGTCGTTCACTTTTTTAACAGAACTTAATAAATAATTTTTATGTGAAATTACTAATTGTAGATCTTTCGGAAGACTAACTCCTAAAAGTTCCATCATTTCTGCTTCTTTTATTAGAATATACATTTTTTCCTATGAAAATATATTTTTTATGGTAAATTTATTTTTAAATTACTTTACAAATTTATCTACTCACGTTAAAATTGGTTTTAAAAGCCATTTGTTTATCCAATAAAATGTGATTTTTATCTCCAACATATTTCAACCAAGCAGACCAATTAATAAAGTCTTCTATCTTTAAAACTTCATCTTTACTATTTAACAAACCTAGTAAAAATAATTTCAATTTAAACTTAGTCATAAAATTCAATTAAATAAATTTTAAATATTTATTAGAAAGTATATTTATTCATGAATAAATTTAATCAAACTAATAAAACTAATGTTTTAATTTAGGTAAACATTAATCTTAGGACTAAATTTATATCCTTATAAGCTTATATTTGTGCTAGTCATATAATTATATTAAATGTATTAAAATTTCATTAATTTGAGAATCTATCTTGTTTTTCATATACATTTTTTAGGTTCTCAATAAATATTTTTTCGATTGTTTTACTTAAATCACGTTGTGTACTAAAAATATCTCATTAGATATTAAAAAAAAAAATAGAAAACGCATATTGAATTTGATAAAATGTTTGAGTTTTTAATTTAATAATAACTGACATTCAAATTTTTTATATAACTTTATTCTTTTATTAGATATAAAATATCTAACATTTTAAGGGACAATATGAAGAAAATGGTTAAAGTAATTAACTTTATATCTCGTCTTTTAATTTTTTTTCTTATAAATTCATATGTAATTTTCATAATTTTTGAGAGGTCTTCGGGTAGAATTTGAAAGAATAACTAATGCTTTTTAGTCCCTCAGATTTTACTTATGTCGAGGATATTAAATTTAATTCTGATAAAAAAATAGAGCTGATGTCATGCGGTGATTTGCTAAAATAAATAATTTTATTTTTACGAATTAAGAAGCATAATATAATACATCGTTCAATATGTAATAACTTTTTTTAAAAGTTATAAGTAGAAATTTTCTCTTAAAATGCTAATATTTAAACTTCAAACTCAAAATCCTACTTGTTAACATTAACAGGCATGACTCAAGTGTTTCAAACACCATATTAATACTATTAAGAATAAAAAAGTTTCGGACTAAAATAGAAAATTCTTAAAATAATTGGCAACTCATGGCATATCAAATAGGTATTATCCATTTATTCTAATTATAAGAATATATTTTACTTGAATATGTTAGTATATAACTACTCATTTGAAGAGTAGTTAAAAGTTTTGCTTCGTTGATCCAAGTAGTGACTTTAGACTTTTCATAAAACTTTATTTGGTTAACAATACCTGAATATATTTCTTGTATCTAAAAATCAAAGTACCTTATATTTATTACTAGTATAAATGAAAAAATAAATAAATTACTTTGTTTTTTTCGTGTAGATTAAATTTACTAGATAAATTAATAATACTTATTGGCTCTTTTATTTTGTCAACCAACGTACGAGCCCAAAATATAGATCCTGAAACTGGAGGATGATGTCGAGAGACAGGAGGTGCTTGTTTTTGAGTCTTAAAATTTATTAATTATTAATATATTAAACATTTTTAAATTATAATAAAATATACTAAGCACGAATTATCAAAGTCAGTCATGTTATAGACTTTTTTTATTGTATACTATTAATAAATTATAAAAAATAATAATAATAGCTAAACGAAAAGTAATTATAATTAAAAACTAGAAATTAATAGGAATTAGAATATTAATTTTAGTTTGTTGGTTTGTCTAAAAAAATTCTATTTTCTGAGGTTAAAAGTAATTTCTAATGTTGAATAAAACATATAAGTTGTGGAACCAGGGAAAAAAAGTTATAGTGTGACAATCATTTCTGTACTACTTGACGTAGTTTGAAGGTAAGTTAGACCATTTACATTACCAAGCACTTAGACATAGTTTATGAAATGAGCAGAGAAAGTCTTTAAAAGGAACAGAGTAAATTGATGGTAGTAACAAATTAGAAGAAGAATTGGCAAGAATGTCTGCTATTTTATTTGAAGTACCTACATACTTTTAATGGAAAAGAACCAATTAACTAATGAATTTACAACAGAGATGAAAGATCTGATTTTATAAATACTAAGAGAAAATTTGGCTGAGAAAGGACTTAAAAATATAGCTAAAAGTCATACTTGGGAATTCGAGGAACTTATATAAGATATATTAGAAACTTATATATATATTAAAGAGCATATATAATTAAAGATAATTTACATTTATTTTCTACTATAATTACTTCTACGTTAAATTCTTTAATAATATCTAATTATTAAAATATTTTGTTTAGAAAAAAAAAAACGAAAAATGATTTTACGTTTTTTAATATTTTAATATTTTTTTGGTGGCCATTTTTTTTTTTACACCTTAGTATTTTCTTATACTACTATTTTTAAAAGACTTATATCTATTTTTACCAAAAACCATGTTTCTACGGTTATTAATTCATTTTCATATTGTTGAATTAAAGCGCCATACTTAGATTCGAATTGATTTTTAAAAACTTGGCTAGTAGACAATTTTTGAAGAAGTTCTAAAGTTATGAATGCCTCTTTGCATGATCTGTAATTATAGTAGTATATCAAGTGTTAATTAGTGTTTAATTAATTTTATTAAAGTTTTTACCTCAAATTATTGAAACTGTCATCGATAAATAATTTACATTCATCTTCTACTTTAATTACTTCTATGTTAAATTCTTTAATAAATAAATTCCAATTTTCAACATTATCTTCGCAAAATAAGTCAAAGTCAATCCCATCAAACACTTTGTATAAATAATTTACTCTACTTATCATGACATCTAAACTAATCATATCTTTAATAGCAGATCTCAATTCTGGTCCCAAAATTATTAAGAACTGACTTATTTTCTGTATAAAAAAATCGATAACACAATTACTATATATATATATATATATATTTTTTTGTCAACAAAAGTTAAATTTGACAACTTCAAATACGTATGAATACATTTTTGAATTTTATTTCATAATTGAAAGGCTCTATATAAAAACAATATAACTCAATTTTTTTTTTAAATCAGAATTTGACTGTTTAAATTTAAGATTCAAATAACGACCACATTCATCTAGGAGGAAAATATAACTATAAATATATAACTTAAGCTAAATTTTCTTATAGGTAAGAATACATGTTAAAAATGTCTAATTTTTTAGCTTCTAGCAAAATTTTGAAAAATGGAGTTATCTTATTTTTTGCACAGAATCCTTCAGTTTCAATTATGATAGTTAATTAAAAACAAAAATAGTACAGTATAGTGAAAGGAAGGGTTGGAACTATGTTTTCAAAATTCATTTCTCAGGTATATTATCATAGTAATAATATTGAGTAACGGACTACTAAGAGTTGTGCTGATAATATAAAAAACTACCAAATCATTTTTATTTACTGAATACATATTTTTCATAGTTAAAACAAAATTTGTACTTCGAGAGGATGATTAATTATTTACAACTAATTGATTACTTACTTCTACAATTTTATATATATCATTTGTAATTCGTTTAACATAATTTGTTTTATTAAATAATTTACATTTATCGAACTCCCAACGATTAAAACCTGATGATTCAATAGATTTTCTACATTCTAAATAACTTTTATACCAAACATCAATCATTTTACTGGCAGACAATGACATTTTTGATATCTCACAAATATCTTTATTCCTATGAATAGAATAATAATTACAAATGTTACATGATATTTTAAAAATTTTGCAAACCATTTAATAAAATAGAATAAATTACCATCTACTTAATAATGGTTCTGATTAAACTAAAGTAATAGTTATATCTTGTTCTAACATAGTTGTAAAAGTATTTTTTTAGTTTCATAGTTAACTTCAATTAGTGTTCGGACAAACAACCTTATAATTAACATTACCAAACATACGAGTAAATATATAATTTTTTATATAGCCTCACTTTTTTTAGAAATGATATAATTCATTTATTCATATTTTCAAGAACATCGTATGTTTTAATTTATGCATTAATTATAAAAAAAGATATGAGTTTTTAAAAATAGTAAAATTTTTTTTTTCTTATAATATACATAAAAATATAAGCCAAACTGCATTAAAAAATATTTTAAGCTTACTTGAGACCTACTAGAAATATACCATACAATGACGTTAATTATGATGTTAGTGTTATCAATTTTTGACTTAAAATTTTGAAACTAAAATATTTATATTTTACAGTAAAAATCAAATTATTTTGATATACTAATCATAATTTTTTATTAAAAATTGAATAACACAGGTTTTTTGTTTTTTAGGGTATTTTTGGTCAAAATACCAAAAAACACATTGAGCCACCAGTCAATTTTTTTTAAAAATCTCAACATTTCACAAAATGCCTATTTTAATAAATAAAATAAAGTTAAAATGATTCTCATTAAAATTTTGAATTTTTTGATCCATCCTACTGTACACTGTTATTTTTTATTATTCTAAGTTTTTTATTTTTGTTATAAATGTAAAAATATAAATAATACACATTTTTAAAGTATACTAACAAAATGTAATGTTTATATTAATTTACTCCTTTTTAGTTTCGATGCGAAGCTGAGAAGGTATTGGTCTTACTATGATGTGTTTTTTTTTTTTATTTTTTTGTGTCTGTTACCACTTATTCTCAGCTCTCACCGAACGGATTTCTTTCAACGATATGTCAAAAGATCACAAATCGTATCTAGTCGAAGTCATTACCCTCAAAAATTGAAAAAATTTCCCTCGTTCCTCGTAAATGCGGGAAACCTCCAAAAAAAATACAAATTTAAAAATCGTTAATTTTCGAAATTTTAAAAATTTTTTTTACTAAAAACTGCCGTAACTTTTTTAAAAATGAATATACCAATATAATTTCTTTTTTATAAATGCTTGATATCTTTACCTATTTTATTTAAAATGACAACTTATTCATAAAAATTAACTTTTTCAACTTAACTTTTGAAAATGTTCCGGAAGGTCTGACACTTTTATATATATCTTAAATTAAAGCTAATGTAATGTATTTTATCATGAAAAAAAAATGTCGGACTTTATTTTGTCTTCACGATGAAAATGGCTACCGAATGCTATTTTATGTGAAAATTCTCGATTTTATTTTTTACATTTTTAACTTTATAATGCTATAACTTATTGAAAAGTGTATGGATCAACACAATTTTTTATGAGAAATAATATTTTTTAATAATCCCTTTTTAATTCGACATACTTTATCTTAATCAGGATATTAATAAGGAACTAGCAGTTTATGAAGCTTTTTTAATAATCCACCAATTTTTTAAAATTAAACACTATCTAAAGATTTGCATCGAAGCGTTTTTTTTTTTATAGTGATTTTAATCACTGTCAGATATTATTATACTTGATCCAACTATGCCACGTCACCACTGTGCCGCGACCCTCAGTGCTGGTTTTTTTTTTTTCATTAAATATTAGCATAATTTATAGAAGAAGTATTTTATATATTGATAAAGTGTTCAGTAGTTAAGGAAACAAACTTCAACTTGTTTGTAACAATTAACATGTTTTTTTACTCTTTGAACTTTCTATTATATTGTATAAAAAATTCTCTTTATTGTGATTTTAATTAACTGTGGCGTAGCTGTTTGTTCCCGGTAGATAACCTTGCGGAAACTTAAACATTAGTACACAAAATGTAATCTAAAGTGAATTAAAGGCTGTTCTAGGAGTTTTTTAATATTCGTTAACGTGTAATGTACTTATCAAATATTAAAAATCTTACTTAAAAATTGATTTCAAGTCTCCTAACTTTTGTCTAACTATTTCGCAGAGACTATTAGCTATTTGGATAAGTAATCTTAACATGTGAACATCTTTTCCAAAGTATGGGGATAGTAACCAAATGGATCTTAAATTTTCAAACCAAATTGGAATTATTTTTATTATAGTTGTTAAATCTGCCGTAGACAAATCCTACAAAAAATTAGAACTATATAAGTATAAACATTCAACGTGCATTACATGTGATTTTTTTATTTTAGAAGACTAAAAAAATAGTAACATGTTATCAGAGCAAATATAAAAATTATAATCGAAATGTTTCTAACAAATATAACCTAAATTATACTAAAAATAGAAAGATTTTAGTCTCATAAAAATTGATCTAGGAGTAATTTGTTCTTTAAATATCTCTGGAATGTAAGTCTAAATAAAAATATTTTTTGAATAATAAAAATTTATTTACCATACAGTTTTCGACGATAAGAGATATGTATTTAAAGTTATCTTTGGCTAAACTGCAAGAATGCATGAATTGTAGTTTTCCTACTTTAAAATTTTCCCATGTTTTTTTTAAGGTTTCAACATTATTCGAAGATTTCTCAATAACTTTTAAAAATAATTTTGTATCATTTGACTCTAACTCATCTAATATCCAACGAACCTCTTCATCGCAACTTTTCCAAAATTCGAATTCGTCATAAATAGTAACACGTTCTCGAATCTAAGTAAAATTAATTTTTATAAATTGAGTTTTATCTGAGTAATATTTCCTTGAAATTGAAACTTGTTACATTATCATATATTGATATTATTGTTGTTGATTTTGATTAGTTACTTAAACTATAATTATTTTTAAAAAAATCAATGTATATTTTTTATTATTATACAATAGTTTTCAATGGTTATTAAATCGCCTAATATAAATTTACAAGGTGAAATTTTGGCATACTATAGTTTTACCTTGTAGATTGTATAAATAGATTCTTAAAAGTAAAATTTAGAAATTCATTCAATACACCCCTAGAATTGTTTCATTAAGTAAAAAAATGATTTGTACAAAATTTGGTTGAAATTGATTGACATTAACACGTGTCACAAGAAGATTAAAATTTGATTGTAAGGGTGGATTTTTTGATTTTCAAATTAAAAATATAAGATAAGAAATGTTTACCTTACCATTGAAATTGATTTTATTCGTTTATTAAATATTAAAAACAAAATATTTTTATAGCATTATTTTTTAAATTGCTCTCTGGAAACTAGTCAACGTACAGAAAAATTTAATTTTTTTTATTATTTTTGTTGTGCGTTTTATATTTTTTTTTTATCAAATGTAATTTAAATATTTTTTTGACAATTATAGAAGAAGGATTCTATTAATTTTTAAACAAGAAGTTTAATGTTACCAAAGATAAAAAATTCATTTTTAAAAATTGAAATTATTTTTGGGTTTACATAAAACAGTAAACTAGTATTACAAACATTAAAGCTACATTAATTTTACTAAAAATATAACTGTTTTCTAAGCAAGATTAATGTTGTTATACAATATTGTAAATGTACAAAATGAAAATCGTATTATATTATTCTCTTTGGAATATTCCTATTAAGAAGATATTGTTAATATAGTCGAAATTTTTATGTTATACTTAAAAGTACCTCAATTATATTAGATAGAAGATTTTTCATCTTGTTATTCCATACTTCTAAAACATTAACGCATTGCAGAACCATTGCAGGTGTTTTTTCTATTGTAATACTTATTTCTTCTATGTTATCTCTTATTAAAGCATCAAAATGATTAATTACACTAGTTGATTGTTTTTTAAGCAAATAGCATAATGACCTAAATTTAGTTAAAGGAATTTATTTTTGAATTATATAAAATATATTAAACTTAATATAATTTTATAAAATTTTTAATTTTAATCAGGTTGTTCAGGTGCTGTTTCACTATTATAGGAGTGGGGGTCTGTATAACTTTACATAACAAAAAAAAAAAAAATTACAAATTATAAATTAATGAATTTAAAAGTATCAATAATCATGAATGTTTTTAGCTGTAATATTACAGGGATCCAATTAATTTACACTATACTTAAGGAAATTTATGCTAAAAGTTATTTTTTGTTTAAACGTTTCGAATTGTTTAAAGCATACTTCTAAAAACAAACCGTTTAAAGTAATTTTTCTTTAACCTGAAATTTACAATCATTGGGTAAATTTATTACGTAAATATTATGTATGTCATCTGTCAAACTGCCAGTTTAGTGAAATATCAATATTTTAGTTTTAATTTAAAAAAAAATCAATATTTTTTCATCAAAAAAATATAGCTTCAGCCTTAAATGATCTTTTTAGGGATTATTTTAATGATGAAGCTATATAGTTTTCCATTTTATAAAATGGAAAGTTTTTCAATTGAACATTACATTTTTATGAAAATGTTAATCACTAAATTGTTTTATTTACGTTATGGAGAACTAAACTTTAACCCCTGATATAGATAGTCACTAATTTAAAAAACAATTATATAGTACACTTCAATTGTAATTTTTATCATAACATACCTTTTAGTTTTTTGCAATAGCGATCTTAACTCTAATAAAAAATGATGCTTTAATGGCTCAAATTTTTTTTTATTATAAGTTGGAGGCTGTAACAAAAAAAGTTCGTTGAATGCTATTATTTTCTCTATATTGACACTTATAGGCCGCTTTTTGAAATCAGCAGAACGATCTTTAACGACTATAAAAAATATCTTATGATAAGTAAAGTCATATTTATAAATAATCATATTAAAACACTAAATATTACACATTTCATAATTGTTTTGTGATTTCATTTCTTGAGAAATTCGCACAAATGTCGACAGAACACAATTTGAAATTAAAGTTATAAACGAACATTGGTCTGTTCGAGTAGTTGCACAGTCATATGAAAAAGGATCAATGAATAATATGTCTACTGCAGGAACCCATATGTTTTCAATTTCTTTTATCATTGATTTTATTAAACATCCACAACGATTACCAATTAAAAATTTACTTGGCATGTAATAATTTGCTTCTTCTTGTATGTCATAGACTGGTATAGGGGAAGCAGTATTTTTTATGAAGTATAAATAATGAACATTTGATTTTAGTCCAATAGGTGCTGAACCAAAATAGATATGAATTTCTGGAATAGTTATTGGTTTTTCTTGTAAAACCTAAAAAATATACTGAACTTAGGTTCTAAAATACGAACAATTTTTTTTTGTTTACTAACTGTATATTTTAACTAAATTATGAAAAATGAATAATATCTCTAATAATATATTAATATTATATGAATAAGGTATTCAGATGTAAAAAATCTAAGAATACCAGATGGCACAACATAATATGTTTATATTTATTTATTGTAACATGTAACTCTTCAATATTAAAATATGATTGTCTATGACTTTGTGAGGTGTTGTTTATTTGTAGAAAAAAAAAAGAAAATAAGAGGGGTATGAAAAATAGTTGCACCTGTTTAATGTATATAAAAATACAAAAATATATATTACAGTTCTGCTGTAAGAGGGCAATAGTTTAGTGGTGATCATTCACCTTCTGGAAGCTTGACTAGTTAAACGACTGTGCGCTTATATAAACTATCTTGAGTTTTTACGATAACTACCCGTACTAGTTTGTCAGTACCAGAATATATATGTAAAATTCTTCCCATGCGCCAGTCGATTAGTGTACAATTGAGTGCTTTGATGATAACTAAATTGCCTACCTTAATATTGTAGTCAGGATTTGTCCACGTTTGTCATCTTTGAAGCGTTATTAAGTATTCTCGTGTCTATAGATTCTATGATGATTGATGCAACTATCAGCGTGTTATATGAGTATTAAAAAATATATGTACCATTGTTTGTTATTTTTTATTCGCCCATTTTATAATTGGTTAAGTAAAAGAGATTAACCTAGATTAATTATTATTTTGTTTTATTTTATGTTTTCTGTAAAACAGTGTTTGTTTTTATTGTTAATGTAAAATTATAAGAAAAGAATTAATATACAGTCCACAAAATTGGGTTTTATTTTAATTCCCTTTTCATCTTAGAATTAAATCAACTAGTTTTAATAGTTGAATCAAAACAAATGTATTAGTGTCATCATTCATTAAAGGCGCTACAATTGTTTTGTAACTAATGAAATGTACGGATATATCACTGGTGTGATAAATCACTTGTAAATAAACCGCGTACCCCTTTCCTGAAGCATCTGAAAAGTCAATAAGTTGTATCTCTTAATAATTATGAACGTCAATATGTTGGGGCAACGAAATAGCATTTAATCATGGGACCTTATTTATAAAAAAATTTCGAATCGGTCAACTCTGCTGGTAAAGGAGTATCCCACTCATGCTTAGCGTGCCACAATTGCTGCATACGACTTTTGGTCCACAACAAGGATGAACCTAGTGACCAGATCATACAGTTTGATAATAATAGACAAAACAGACCTTTTTGTTGGTTGACAATCATGTGAATAAGTATGATAGGTAAATGAATTGCTGTCGGGGTCCCTGTGAAGTCTGAGTACCTTTACTATCTGATCTCTTTTGGGATCAAATCACAACGATAGTGCGCAGTCTTTAGCAGGCACTAAATTTGACTATAATTACTGGTCCATTTTTTCAATGTACATTTTCCGGTATTTAATAGTGGAATTAATTGTTTTTGAATAATAAGAAGATCTTTTATAGTATTCACTCCAGCTATGATGTCATCAATGTAAGTAGTATTGGACAAAATTCCTTTGGCGGCGGGAAAATATTGTTCTTCAATTCTATCGTGCTCGTGGAGACATCGAATTTCAAGATACGGTGCCAAAAATTTTCCGTAGGTGTCGGTGAGCAATTTATATTAGACAACTTTGTCATCGGGAAAATTGCGCTATAATGAGTATTGATAGGCACAATCGGAAGGACGCACTAAAATTTGTCGATACACCTTCGCTATGTCGGTTTTAATTACAAATTTTTTCAAACGACCTTTGAGAATTATAACACTTGATTTCTTTTGAAGTTATGGACCGATACACAAAATATCATTAAGGGATAAACTGTTACATGACGGACATGATAAATTAAAAACTACTCTTAACTTAGAGACGACGCCGTCTTGTTTTATTACAGTATGGTGTAGTATAAAATATTGACCCGGCTGAATCGCACGCTTCATATACCCGAGCGATAGATATTCGTGTATAAACGAACGATAGGTGTCATACAGCTTCGAGTCTTGCATAAGTACTTGTAGACGAAATGGTAATGACACACGAAACTTCCCCAAGGTTTCTCGTGTAGCTGTTCTTGTAAACCAACGTTCTTATTATTCATTTTCAGTCATCGGGTGTTCGGACGCGACGGATGCTTAAACGGACCAAAATTTTTGCATAAGCGAATGTATAGATGGTGAAGAGCTTACGGACAGCGAAACTAGTGATGTCTGTTTTGGTTGATTGACTGTTCTTATAATAACCAACTCGAGTAGAGTGTTCAATGTAGACGGAAAGACAAGAGTATGAATAACGTCACCTTGAGAATGAACTATTTGGGGAAATATATAACCACCTAATATAATGTGAAATGTTGGGTCAGCTAATTGTAATTGCTGGTATTGTTCACATATCGCGTGTGTTAGCATAATAGACGGTATGTACGTTGTAATAGTCGGAATTATTTTGATGTCATGGCAAACATAAAATAAACGATGGGTCTGTATTGAAATGTGAAAATCAGTCATCTTTTGACCTTGACGACTGGCTCTTTAGATAAGCCGACTATATCTGTTTCCCATTTTCGTTGGGGTAATTTAAGTCGTGAAAATCATTCGGTCGTAATAACGGATACTTAGGAATCGCTATCAAGTAAAACGCGTATGACGTGAATTTTTCCGAAACGGTCAATTACGAGAATATGAGCGGTGTCCAACATAACAGTTGTATTGGTACACACTGTACCCACGAATTTTTTATTGGTGTTATAATGTGGATGGTTTGTTCGATGAAGTTTGATTTTTGAAAGACACTGTTGAATCGTTCTTGGCTTGATTAAAATGTAGCACTGTGTAGTGCCGTTTTCCACAAGTATGGTCAGACGACTTCGATTGACAAGTGTTGATCATGTGAGATGATCCAAGGCACGAGAAATAAAACATTTTTTGTAGTACAAAATCTCGGCGATCATTATAAAATAAACACTTTTTAACTAGAACTTGAGGACGTGTTAGATGCAGAATTATGGGTACACAGTGATGATTTTAAATTAAATTTTTTTTTTTCCAATTTATTAGGCTGACCATAAAAATCGCTTTTCATATTGTTACCATTGATCAACGAAGTTTAGTACTCGTTAAATGTAGGAACCTTTGATTGCGAAACACTGCATTGAAATAACTGACAAGTATTTATGTCAAGGACACGGGAACTCATATAAAAGAGAATGAAGTCCGCGAGATCGATGACTCCGAGTTTTTTCAACGTAGTGATATTTTCTGTAAATACGTTAAAAAAAGTCATCAAGTCTGGCAGCAACTCCTGATTAATTGGACAAAAAGAAAATATCTTTTCAAGGTGTGCTGTAGTGAGTAAACATTAGTTGTCAAACCACTCCGTTAGTGCAGTCAAAACAATATCATAACTGACGGCTGATAACGAGATGGGCTGTTGCAATGATCTAAACAGCACTAATCTTATAATAAAATTTTTCCATTTCATCAGTGACGAGATAATCGAACAATTCAAATTCATCACTATGACCCAAGTTGTGAAATTCTTTAACAAATAAATCCAAATAACGAACACATACGTTAAGAGACGGCCTCAACATAGCATAGGTTTTTGATTTTACCACGACGGAGTAAATATTGACGATCAATTTTAGAACGTGGACAAATGGAAACGCGCGGAAACTAATTCTTTATCAGTCTTAAGGACTTTTTGCACTCTTTTTGGGCATTTTATTATACAATAAAAAAAAAGAAACAACAAAAAAATCATAAATTCTACTCGAAGAACCAAAAAATATAAGTATGAAAATAAGAGGGATATAAAAACTAGGTACACCATTTTTAATGCATATGAAATTACAAAAATATATATTATAGTTCTGCAAATATTAAAAAGTAAAGGGGAGGAGGGGAACTTACATACTGACAATATTAATCATATAACATGAAAAACATGAACAATAAAATAAAATCAAGAACTTATCTGGTGAAGGTTTGAGGATATTAGTGAGAATAGCAATGTGCCTGAAAGATCTCATTATGATGTAACTAAAGATAGTAAATGTAAAACACAAATACACGACGGATTATACAATGCATATCGGTATTAATAACATGGTACTGTTTAAAAACTAATATGAGCGATCAAGACAAAAATAGCTATACACTAATCAAGCAAACGAAGATTAATATATAAACAAAAGATGACGATAAAAGGAAAAATAATTTAAAGTGGTTTAACAATCGGAAAATTTGTGTATATTAAGGCACAAGACGTGAAAAAAGTGTGTACATACGGTAAAAGACGAGACGTAAAAAACAAACTATAAACAAAAACGACGGACGCTAGCTGTGTAAGGGGCGATGGACGGATGATGCGCGATCACGTTCAAACCGATCTAAAACGAATGCCACGGGAGATTGCCACACTTTACTCAACACATATTGTTATACATAAAAACCCAGCACAGTGAGGACGTGGCCAGTATCAATTTAATTAGACAGTGATTAAAATCATTATCATTAGAAACGCTTCGATGCAAATCTGTAGATAGTGCTTAACTCTAAGAATTTGGTGGATAATTACAAAAGCAAAATGAACTCCTATTTTCTTATTTATAACATAATTAGTAATTCTTAGATTCAAAAATATAATATATAATTATATAATAATCAATTTTTTAATTAAATATTATATAATTTTTAAAATTAATTGTTTTCAAATTATTATTTATTTTGATTTTTAATATGAGAACTACAGGGCAGATCTTTCTCGTGACCTGAATAACCTACAGTTTAGATTGGGGTCGAGACTAAGTCCATTGTCTCGGCTTACAAAGAAAACTGTCCTTTAGTAGAAAGGAACGTTACAGAACAGGGTGTAACTTGGTGGAATGCTAACCTATTTAAATTAAGATAGAATTCACGTAAGTTTCTAAATAAAGCAATGAAATCAGGTTTGGAACAACATTGGGAATCCTATAAGGACGCACAAAAGAACTGCAAAAACAAATCTGCTTTGAAAAAGTCCAAAAGAGAAAGCTGAAAAAAGTTTTGAAGGATATACAACAACTCCCTATAGCAACTAGACTTCTGCGATCACTAAGAAATGGACCAAACAAAACTGTCGAAGCAATACTACTGCTAGACGGCATGTTCATAAATAACGATAATGCAACATTATCATATTTGATGAACACACATTTTCCTGACTCTTTAATTAACAACAGAGAACATCACATGATACACAGGATATACGTGTGACCTGTGCTGATTGGAAACTAACCAGGAAAGTGATATCCCCAAGTGGAATAAGATGGGCAATAAAAGCCTTTGGCAGATTTAAAGCTGTAGACTGTGACGAAATTTTCCCTGCACTTCTGCAAGAAGGGTTAGAGATAATCGTCCTCCATCTCTGCAAAATATTTAGGGCATGCCTTGCCTATGGTATCAACCGGAAAGCTGGCGAAAGGTCAGAGTGGTGTTTATACCTAAACCTAACCGCACTAACTATTATGAAGCAAAATCCTACAGGCCAATAAGTCTTACTTCTTTTTTTCTTAAGACTATGGAGAAACTTATTGATAGGTACATCAAAGAGGGGTCTCTAAAGGAGCACCCTTTACATGAAAACTAACATGCGTACCAAACGGGGAAATCTAATAATACAGCTCTACACTGCCTGACGACTAAGATAGAGAAAGCTGTGGCGTATAAAATGTATGCAATAGTTATATTCATGGAAATCGAAGGGGCTTTCGATAATACTCCCTTCGATGCTATGTGTGAATCTACACAACAGCATGGAATAGAACCACTTATTACTAAGTGGATAGAAACCATGCTTCAGGAACGCTCCATAATGGGACAGCTCAATGAAATCAGACTAATCAAGAGTGTTAAACAGGGATGTCCACAAGGCGGGGTTCTATCTCCCTTGCTATGGTGTCTAGTATTGGACTCGCTTATTAAAAAGTTAAACAAATACTGTTATACACAAGCCTATGCGGATGACTTATATTCATATATATTTGTTCTTGAAAAAATTATGGAATTTTTAAGAAAAAAAGTGAAAAAAAAGACAAAATTTACCGATTTTAAAAATTGTATTTTTTTTTTTGAGATTTCCCCCATTTTCGGGGAACGATGGAAAATTTTTTAATTTTTAAGGGTAATGTCTTCAACTAGATACGATTTGTGATTTTTTGACGTATTGTTAAAAGAAATCGGTCCAGTGAGAGGTGAGAAAAAGTAGCTACAGACATAAAAAAAAAAAAAAAGTATATCATGGTAAAATTAATACCTTCTCAGCTTCGCATCGAAGCTAAAATATACTGGATTTTTAAAAGCTTTTATTTACTCCAATAAAAAATAATAATTTTTCTATAAAAACAATGTATATAAAATGAATAGGTGTTACTCTGGCATATTTGTTTGTGATGTTGGTTTAAATTAATTAAATATAACTAGAACTAGTAAAATTTAAGTTTATGTAAAGTGTAGAAAATTAATCATATTGTAATCATTTTTAAATAGTTACAACGATGATATAATTATATTATAAAATATTATTATTATAATTAAATATATAATATTTTGACGATTTTTATGAGAAGATAGCAAATCAAAAATGACACCTTTCAAAAAACAAAAACTAAAACTAGCTAATTTAATTATTATAATAAAAATGATACCACTAAACATAGCAGAAAGTCTTTTATAAATTAATAAAAAACATAAAATTACAAAAATTAATATAATCTTCTCACCAAAAAAATGCATATATATTTTGCATTTGTCAAAAATCATAACTACAAAATATAACATATATTTAATGAAAATATAGTTCGCATTTCTTACTTTAACTTTCTTATAATGTTTTTGAGAATGTTTTCCTGTACCATTGCCGTCTGCCATTTGTATAGCTAAATATGATTATAAATTAAATTATTCATTATAAACTTATTTATTTAACTGCATAATTTGTTAAATAAAAAAAATATTTATATTTATTAATATAATTATATTTTTTTCTTTTATTAAACACGGTAATTAATTTTTTAATCAGATTTTGCTTTATTTTACCAATTGTCAATTTACATGATTTTAGTCTTTAAATAGTTTCTAACAGATTTATATAAAGAAACTCCGTCTGTTAATCCTGAAAGAAAAATTGTGCTGAGCAAACAATTTTTAGTTGTGTATAACTACCTGTATCTGGACTAGAGTAACCATCCTTAGATTTTCCATCTGAATCTTTATCAGAATCAGATACTGAATCACCAGTTATAGTCGTATCTACAATTTGAGCATGCTTTTTCTTTTTCTTTTTATCGTGTTTTTTTTTTACTTGTTTTACACCAAATTCTTTCATTGACTGTACTTCAAATTCTGATACTAAAAAAATACTTGTATATATGTTTCCATCACGTATCATATAGTATAATTTTTTACATACACTCTTCTTCAACTTCAATTTCTTCATAAATAACTTTTTCTACTACTGAAGTATAAACATACATTATATTTTTAAAGTTATTTTCTTCGTTATTAGGTGATTCCAAAAATTGAATCAATTGATTTTTTAGAATACTTTCATTTTTACATAATTCTTCTTCAAATAAATTCATCGTAAATATTTCTGTACCAATTTGAAACACATTGTTTATACATTTTACAAACCATACAATTCTAGTATCCATTGTTTGTTAATTAAACGTCAGTAAAAATGTTAATTCTGTTAATTAAAAAATAAAATAATCATGGTTAGTGACATAACATAAAAAAACTTCAAAAAAAATTACGTATGGTTATGTAATGCACTCAGATGATATTACCTATCTCATCAATCCTTTAACTAAAGGATTATTAAACAAAAAATTATTATTAAAAAAATAATATCTAATTTGGATTCAGCAGTATCAAAAACATATAAATCAGCCTTTTTACTAATCCAAAACAGAAATTCCGGTAATAATAATTATTTTCTAGATGCCAAATATTTTATCAATTGAGAAATGAGCTCATACATTCAACGTAATTCATACGTATTCTTAAAGTTCATATACTATAATAATATATATATACAGAATTATTCTGTGCTATTTAAATAAAGAGTGCCAATTTAAAAAAAAAGTTCAAGAATACAAAGTAAATTTTTTTATACTAAAGTAAATTGAATTTTAAGTTATACAATTTATAAATACAAGGTTGTATAGTCAATAAAAACATATAAATTTCTTAATTGCACTGAGTATCTAATAACGAAAAAATTATTTAACAATAACACTACTGAAAATCAGTATGTTTGTATATTTATTCGTTACAAGGAATATGAGTTACTATAGTCATAGCAACTGTTACTATGAATGATAATTAAAAATTTTTAAATAGATGAACACTTAAGATATAACATTAATATTTTGCTTTATTATAAATTTAAAGTATAAAATTTCAAAAAAATAACATTATATTTAAAGAAAAGCCTCAGAAAAAGGAACCATAATGCTAATAATTTTCAGCAATTATTTCTAGTCATTAAATCGACAGAGTCATATTTTTTCAATCATTATTTCGGCAAAAAATGTATAATTTAGCTGTTATGTAAAATTTATTCAGTTGTACGTATAAATTAACTGTTTAGATATAATAAAAATTCATATAATTAAAATTATAAAAGTTACAGTCCCTGAAAGGCTTACCATTTCATTTTTTTAATTAAACAATAATGAACGCTAAGAAATAAGTATTTTAAGTTAAATTTTTCTTGATAATCTTACTTTTTATGCATTATCATATCCTCTTTAACAAAGTATGATAGAATAAAAAATTGATTCAGTAGTCGTAATAATTATTTAATTTTGTTAGAAATCACAAAGTACTATTAGAATCTTAATATTTGTTTGATAAACAATCGTGTTTTTATATCTTAGCAACAAAAGACTGACTATCGATCACAAAAATTTTTGTATGTAATACAAGCACTGGTTTCTTCAATAAATAAATTACATTGTACAATCGTTATCCATGTATCATTATATTTACAAATGTTGAAACAGATGCGATTTATTTGTTTGATTTTCATTTTTAATCATACAGCATAAAATTTTAATTAACAAAATACAATTTTTGGTAATTAAAAAGCATAATACAAAAAATTACCCTATTTACCCAAATATCGATACATAAATAATGCAGAACAAGTATTCTAGATTTTTAAAATATACTTTTTTTTGTGGCGGACAAAAATAACTGTACATAAGGCTAATACGATTAAACCAATTTGTACATATTCTGAAAAATCACCTTGTAGTATTTCCATCGTTTGAACTATTAGAAAATATACATTCAGCAATTGCTAGTGGAAAAAAATTGATGTAGATGCTTTTAATATTTATGCCATAGAAACAGCTAAAATTTTTAATTGATTTACTTTTGACGATACGAATTACTTAAAAAATTCAGTATCAGAAATCGAATCAAACGATGGAAACATTACAAGACGATTTTTCAGAAATCTGGAAATAATAAATAAATAAATGAAAGCTAAATGTAAATAAAATATGTACGAATTGGTTTAATATTATTAGCCTTATACGCAGTTATTTTTGTCCGCCAAAAAGAAAAAATTATATTTTTAAAATCTAGAATACTTGATTTACATTATGAATCGATATTTGGGTAAAATAGTGTAATTTTTGGTATTATGCTTTTTAATTATCAAAATGGCTAAACAAAAAACACTATATTTTATTAAAGCAATCATTAAATAGTGAAAAAGATTTTTTTTTCACATCTTGAATCTTTAATTTTACTAAAATAAAAAAAAAAAGTTTAAATTGTCAAAAATACCGACAGGGAAAGACCTTTTAGCTTCGATGCGAAGATGAGAATGTATTAATTTTACCATGATGTGTTTATTTTTTTATTATTTTTTTTTTGTGTGTCTTTCAACAATACGTCAAAAGATCACAAATTGTATCTAGTTGAAGACTTTACCCTTAAAAATTGGAAAAATTTCCCTCGTTCCCCACAAATGGGGGAAAACTAAAAAAATTACAAATTATACAAACCGGTAAATTTTGTCATTCTTTTCACTTTTTTTTCTTAAAACTTTCATAACTTTTTCAAAAATCAACAAAAATTTTTTTTTACTAATACCTTAGATATATTTTTTTTCATTTGATATCATTTTTTTGAAAATCTAACACTAAACCAGCTCACTGGAGGAGATTTAAAATAGAAACTTTTTTACAAAAACTAACTTTTTCAACTTAATTTTTAAAAATGTTCCGGAAATACTGTGTCCTTTAAACATATATCAAATCAAAAGTTATGTTATATACTATAAAATGAAAAAAAAAATTTGCCCCGACACCTTATCTTCTATGTGCAAATGGCTCTCGAAATTTAAAAAAAAATGTAATGTTTGCGATAAAATCACCTTCTATCGGGATGTTTTTTGTACTTCAAACTGCCATAACTTTTTCAAATATTAACAAATCAAATTAATATTTTTTTATATTAAAACCTTAGGTAATTTCCTTTTATTTTATATCATTTTTTTTGAAAATCTAACACTTATTCTGCTCACAGGGGGATTTAAAATTCCAACTTTTTTACAAAAACTAACTTTTGAAAATGTTCCGGAAATACTGCGTCCTTTAAACATATGTCAAATTAAAGCTTATATCATGTACTACAAAATTAAAAAAAAAATTTGTCCCAATGACCTATCTTGTATGCGCAAATGGCTACTGTATTCAAAAATATGCTATTTTTGTGTTAAAATCCTGGGTTTTTTATTTAAAAAATATCTTATAAGGGCAATACACTAACTTTCATGAATATTTTATAATTTAATTGACATAGAATAAAGTTCATAAGACATAAGAAATTAAATTTATTAAAATTTTATTATTTTTTTAAAGTTCAAAAAGTAATTTTTAAATTTGAGTTAGCTTAAATAGCCAATTTTATCTTGTTACAAAAGCAACGAACAGTTGACGAATCGGAAACACTTGTGTCTTTCACGTTTAGGGTTTGAGGTTTAAATCCGTCTGTGGCAAATAATATCTTGCATTTTTTTTGAGTTAAAATAAAATGTTCAAATCATTTGATATTTATCACATTTAGATTCAATAACTTCTATAAATATAAAGGATCCTATCACTATAGTCTCCCCTCGTGAGAAGAAATTTATATTCATGTTAATATTATTTTACTATGTGGTTATTTTTGTGGCTACGATTTATTTTGCCAACACTTACTTGACCTACTTTTTTCAACGATATGTCGAATGATTACAATTCGTATTTAGTTTAAGTTATTACTCTTAAAAATTAAAAAAAAATCCCTCAATCAAATAAAAAATATCTTAACCAGCTTTTTCCATACAAACAATTAAAATCATTAATTTCTAATATTATTAAAATATTCATTGTCGAATTAGATTTGATATGATAAAAGTATTCAACTACAAGAGTAAATAATTTTACTTTGTAATTTATGAATTTTTTAACTCTATTTGTGTGTGCTACTACCAGTCTATAATATTTCAAAGTTTTTTGTAACATGTTGCTATATAAATCATAAATTAAAAAAAAAATGATTTTTAGTTTCACCTGAATTTAACGATGGATTTTTACATATACAAGGTGGCCTACCACTCACTGACAACTTAAATAACTTTTGGTCCAGTTAATATTTTTAGCTGATTTTTTTTTTTAATAATAGTTATACGTTAGGTCTATAGCTATATCTCAATAATTAATTTTTTTAATTTTATTAAAAATATTAATTATTTTTAAATTTTAAATAAAATGTACAAAAAAAATCTAAGATAGCTATTTTGTAGAATAGAATTTAAGAAAAATTTTAGTAAAAAAACCCAGCACAGGGGGGTCGCGGCACAGTGGTGACGTGGCATAGTTGGATCAAGTATAATGATATCTGACAGTGATTAAAATCACTATCAAAAAAAAACGCTTCGATGCAAATCTTTAGATAGTGTTTAATTTTAAAAAATTGGTGGATTATTCCAAAAGCTTCATAAACTGCTAGTTCCTTATTAATATCCTGATTAAGATAAAGTATGTCGAATGAAAAAGGGATTATTAAAAAATAGTATTTCCCATAAAAAAATTATATTGATCAATACACTTTTCAATAAGTTATAGCATTATAAAGTTAAAAATGTAAAAAATAAAATTGAGAATTTTCACACAATAATAGCATTTGGTAGCCATTTTCACCGTGAAGACAAAATAAAGTCCGAAATTTTTTTTTTCATGATAAAGTACATTACATTAGCTTTAATTTAAGATATATATAAAAGTGTCAGACCTTCCGGAACATCTTTCAAAAGTTAAGTTGAAAAAGTTCTACTTTCTATATGCATTTTTATGTTTTGAATCCCCCCTGTATTTAGGGAAATGGTCCGATTTAAAAAAACAGTATGTCGAATGAAAGATCTATATAAATACTACTTCTCATAAAAAAATTGTAATGATTCATACATTTTTCAAAAAGTTATAGCATAATAAAGTTAAAAATGGAAAATACAAAATCGAAAATTTTCACACAAAAATAGCATTCGGTAGCCATTTTCACCATGAAGATAAGATAAAGTCCGAAATTTTTTTTTTTCATGATAAAGCATATTACATTAGCTTTAATTTAAGATATATATAAAAGTGTCAGACCTTCCGGAACATTTTCAAAATTTAAGTTAAAAAAATTAATTTTTTGTGAAAAAGTTGTCATTTTAAATCCCCCCTTGTGGGCAGGTTAAGGGTTAAATTTATGAAAAAAATATACCAAATGAAAGGTAATGATATTA